ACTGTGGACAGATTGGAAAAACTGCCCCCACTTCCAAATGCCACGGTCACCCCAACTGGCCCCTCTCCCTCACAGGCCTTTTTAATTTTCCATAACATTCCTTAATCCACCTGGTCAACTCTGCACACACCATACACAGACACATGCAAACACACAGATGCAAAATGCTTTCACATTTTGCCTCAAACCCTAATTATATTACCAGTAGATGGATGTGTGTGGGCACCTTTTACCGAAGCATGATGCAAAAGTGTGTCAACAAACAATGGAGGCAGATCCACAACAATGGGGGACAACCTAGACACAGGGGTCTAAGTTACATACACACATAGATGCATTGTGTTACACTATGCATGATACAACGTACAAGACTGTATTGTTTATCTTCAGTTGACAGGTTGGTGTAAGCCACAATCTCTTGATTACACACTGGTTGAAAAGCCTTGAAAGAATTGTTTGGGCAAAGGACCATCTGGTTTCCATATGCCTTTCAAAAACAACTTTTACTATTGGCTGAAAACCAAAAAATATCAGCATTGCTAAGATCAGCAGTTGGCCGAGGTGCTCGTCAGAGCCCTGTGAGCTATTAAAAGACCCAACACAAAGATGGATGTGTGCTGTTGTGCCCAAAACTTTATTTAAAATGAGTGTAGCTGAGCTTTAAAAAAATTGTGTATATTATAATAGTGCATATGATCTTACTGTGCAATATTTAATACATATCAAACTACAAAAATCAATAAAAGTATTTATTCTATTACTCAGACATTTTACTGAGAGTTAGTGGAGAAGATTGACACAACTCTCATATCTGTCCATTAAATATAAAGCTACAGCCAGCAGCTGGTTAGCATAGCTTAGCATAAAGACTGCAAACAAGAGGGAAACTGCTAGCCTGGCACTGTTCAAAAGGTAAAATCTGCCTACCAGCACCTCTAGTACTCATTAACACCAATAAACACATTATATCTGGTTTGTGTAATCCATACAAAAAACAAAGTGTAAAAATGACACATTGTGGTTTTACAGAGGATTACCCTGAGGTTATGTGTTATGTTTTGGAGTCTCCGCTGGTTTCCTGGCAAGTCACTGCGCCCTGGGCCAAGAACACATAATCTGACACATAATTCCCAGTAAAACCACAACGTGTCATTTCTACATTTCAGTAGGTGGATTTTGTTACTTCATTTCCAAAGGAATGTCCAAAAAATGTCAGACTATGCCTTTAAATAAGTAAAAATGATGTGCCTTTACTGTGAGATAATCTGAACTGTTCAAAGTCAATAGAAAGGTTTCAATAATCAGATTGCTTTGAAATGTAAAGTGATCTCAACTTATTTTAATACATTATTCCTATTTTCCAGAAATCTCTTGAAACACAAAGATTAATTGAAATCAAGCAATTGTCACTTGGTTCAGGTACATGCTTTGAATATGAGCATTCCCTCTCTGGTTTAGCCAGATTTGTCCTCAAAGTCATCACAGACCCCATTAGGTGGGAGATGTCATGTCACCCCAGCCAGTTGGACTTGAACACAGCAGGAAATGGGCCAGGTTACAATGTATTTTAAGATTTTTAAGCCAGTGGAGAAAATAAAGTAGATGGGGAGAAGTTAAGATAAGAATAGGCGAAGGGAATCAGGTTACACAGAATGAAAAGAAAACATGGAGATCTGGGAGGAAAAATCTAGGTGGATCAAGACATTCTTTAAAAGGACTATTATAATCGCAGATACTTTAAAATGTGTTCTCCTGTGGAGTTCAGAATGTTATGCCTGCTTAGATTGGAAAGAAAGCCACTATTTCCTCCTCAAAGCATTGTTTATCTTAAACAAATCGCTGTCGATCACAGATATGATGAGAAGCACCTCAACAAAAGGGCCAAGCAAAACAGAGGGACTGAAGCACACCAGAGCTGATACAGAAACAGATGTACAAAATCTGTTCTTTGCCTTACCCCATCCCACTGCATTGCAACCCAAGAGACATCAAATCCCTTGTCAATCTGTTGGAGAGACTGGTGATGATCAGCCAGAAGTCTGTTATTTTCCGTAGGGCATATAGATATGCCATGATTGGTCGAATCATCGATTAATTGTCAACTGCTAAATTACTTGCCAACTATTTTGATAGTCGATTAATTGCTTTGAGTCCTTTTTAAAAGACAAAACGTCCAAATTCTTTAATTTCAGTTTACCAAATATGATTGTTTTCTGGTTTCTTTGCTCCTCTATGATAGTAAACTCAACATATTTGGATTGTGGATAGAAGAAGACATTTGAGGACGTCACCTTGGGTTTTAGGAAACACCGATAGACATTTTTCGCAATGTTCTGAACCTAACAACTAATCAAGAAAATATTTGACAGGTTAATCGATAATGAAATAGTAAATTGCAACCCAAATGACAAAGGAATTGTCTGAAATTTTGGAAAATGATTCGATTTCTTGAGGAGGGTTTGTTGAGAAGGTCAATACCACTGTCATGACTGTACTGTAAACATGAAACTGGAGCCAGCAGCCAATCAGCTTAGCTTAGCACAAGTACTGAAAGCAGTGGAAAACAGCTAGTGAGGCTCTGTCCAATGGTAAAAAAAATCCACCTGCTAACACCTCTAAAGCTCACTAATTAACACGTTACATCTTGTTTGTTTAACAATAGCATAACTACTTTACTTGCTTTCATTGACCGAGTCTTTGTTTGACTTCAGTTTTCATGAAGGAGAGGACGCAATATAAGTTGATGGAAAGCACCAAGTGCCTTAAAAGCATCAGTTTGGATCTTTTGGTTGATCTAGTACAGCAGGCAAACAGGACTTTGTAAAACGTAACTGTTTTTCAAAAGCTTAATTTTGTTGCACTTGTGATGCAGGTATGTACAATGTAGGATTAGACTTTAGCCACACATTAAAGGTGCAATACAGAGTGGTTTATGTTCTGCAGGTTTACGCAAACTGAGATGTTTTTACTTGTTTTAACACACTAACTAAAAGCAGGGTAAATTTTTCTATACATCACACCATCCAGGTTTTAAGATTGACTCCCTGCCTTCAGGCACCCACTGTTGTCCATTAATTTCAGCACGCAATGAAAGGTTTACTTGAGATAGCCACTCAATCACACAGGACAATTTCTGGCTTTCTAGCTTTAGTTTTTTGCCAAAGTAACACTGACGCATGGTAATACAGTTGCAACCTAGGAATGTTTTGGAAAATCTTCCTTGAAAGTGCCTTCGAGGAAACTCCAGCATTACAGCACAAACACTAATGCAAAAAAGAACCAAAACCTGCATTATCCTTTTCCTGACATCAATGTTTGGTTATCGTTTGTCTTTACCACACACCGCCAAGCGTGATTTTTCAAATAAATCACTAACACAAGCTGCAGCATTGTAGCTTAAAAAACTGGACTTAATTTTTATTGTGATGGATTATGTTGGGGAAGTTTCTCGTCTCGCCAAGTGAATTATCATATTGCAGTGAAATTAGCCAGAAACCCATGGCTAAGTGTAAGACAGAAAATCTGCCTCAATCTTCTGGTATGCTTTAGAAAATGGTCAGTAGTAGTATTTGACTTTGCTTAACAAAATTAAACCGGTATGATCCACCTTGCATAGTATGCATAGTATTAAAAAATGGGCATCACTGATTAACAACTGTGGTAATTTAATTTATATAGGTCATCAAACAATATTTTGGTAATTTGTGGACTGGTTTTTATTTATTATTTTATTTACTGCAGATGTAAAGTACCTACTTCAAGCGTGAAACTGCTTGAGAGCTGTGAAAACAATGCTGTTTGACAGATTTAATAAAAGGAGAAAAAAGGAAAAAAGGCCCAAAAATCCCCCTCCCATCACTATTTCTCAACAAAAAAAAGACCAGCACAAAATGCCCACATGGAATACATAAACATATATCAAGTAGCATAATCATTGCTTCAAGATTACAGAGCAATACAAAAATCTGCTCAAAAGGAAAAACATTAATTAATTAGAAAGTTACGTGAAAACAAGTTTTAAAAAAGTTAAAAAATAATCTCAAAGTGGTTGTGTTTGGTTGAGTTTCTTGATGATGAACAGCCTGATGGTTTTGCTACTGTCTGCTCTTCAGAGACTCAAATTAGACAGTCCAGCTCCAAACAGAGGACCTCAGAGGGCTTTTGGTCCTCTCTGGTTTCTACACCTGCAAACTGTCACTTACACTATTTTCCTTTTCCACACAGTCTTTCTCTTCCAAATACTGCCTGGATGCTCCTCAAGAAAGAAAGAACGAAAGAATGAAAGACAGACAGACAGACAGACAGACACACACACACACGCCATGTGGTTAAAAATATAATTGGAGAACAGCAGCCAATTCAACACCATTTGTAACTATGCTAATAACTAAAAATCCAGGCTTAAAACAGAGCCTTTCTTAACAGTATGTCATTTGTTTGTCTATTTATCTAGATAAGGATGATAATATTTCAGTTTTTTAGTGCCCCCACCCACCCCCCCACCACCACCACCAATTCGACCTCGTGGCGTCCCTCAGGTCAATAACGTGAACAGCAGCCTGAGTTTGACTTTGATCATTTTTTATTTTGACTCCTATTTTAGACACTGTGATGTCACTGTGAGAGCACACTTGGGAATGATTGAGTATTGTTATTCCACGCAGAAAGCCGACCAAAAAAAAAATAAGGCAGGACGTTTGTGACTTTGATCTATATTTGTCCAGGATACTGTCTTGTCCTCATTAACAGCAGGCATGAAGCAGGCAGTTATGCAACAACAATGACCTCCAGATGATCACTTATGAACTCACAAAACCAACACTGTAAAATCATAATCTCATAAACAGAGAGCATTTATTTATCATAAGGGAGTAAGAACTCATTACTTTTACCTATTTCTAACATTTAACACTGTGACCACCAAAAGCTAACGTGAATGACATCTGTTTGTGAACTCTGTGGATCTGTTAGCAGCTTCTTCCCATCCTGAATAGGCTTACCTGTCCCTCACTATAAGCTGAGGTGTTGAAGGGCCAGAAGAGGATTCCCTGCAACATCCATTCCCTGCGAGGGACTATTTCTTTCCACCCGCCCCTGCTGAGGTCTGTACTGACGGAAGGTCTGGAACAAGACAGCTGAGATCATGTTTTTCACACTCTTGATTTAGCAGTTCCAGTGCAGTTATAAATAATGTCATGGAGTAAATGCTCCATTACGGCCATATAATAGCGAAGGGACATAATTGGAAACGAGAAGAAAACCAATAATCATTGTGCATTTTTTTATGTCAGTGGGGACAAAATCTTCATCCCATCAAATGTTTTTTTTTTTTTTTTTTTTTTTTTTACACGCACTGTCCCAGCCAATTAATGTAGGTTGAGTGTTTGCACAACACAACAACAATCACCAAAACAGAGGGATAACCAGCGCCAAACATCCAACTGATACTTGCTGATAAATAGCCAACTGGTTAGTGTTGCGCCAAAGAACCTAGTCTGAATCTACCCCTGATTAAAGAGAGCTGTTTAGACTTTAAGCTCTGGTTTTATCTTCAAACATGTCTTCCTGCATTGAGACATATAATATCAATCAATTTGATAAAGGAGAAACACCTTCTTGCAAGGTTGCTGCTTGAATATGTGGCTCTTCAGCTGAATTCCTCTTCTCAAGCTATTTTTCTGAATATATACAGGCCCCCTAAATACTGTGCAAACTTTTTTGATGACTTTGGTGAACTGCTGTCTATAATCTGTATTGACTTTGACAGTGTAGTTATTGTTGGTGATTTTAACATCCATGTTGACAACCCCCAGGACAGAGGGACTAAAGAACTGTGTGTTCTTGATAATTATGGACTGACCCAACATGTGACAGAGCCCACACACAATAAGGGGCACACTTTGGACTTAGTCATCTCCAAGGGTCTGAACATTTCCAAGGTTGTGATGACTGATGTCCTGTGTTTTCTTTGAGAGTGCTATCTGCGTGCACACAAATGTACAAACAGAGGTAATCACAAAATGGCATATCACTGAAAACACTAGTGAAAAATGTAAGGCTGAACGCAGGTGGCGGAAAACAAATCTCCAGGTTCATTATGACATCTATAAAGAGAGACTTCGCATTTATAATTTAGAACTGAGAAATGCAAGGCGGTCCTTCTTCTCTGACATCATCACCAAAAACACTAATAATGCACGTGCCCTGTTTGCTACTGTCGACAGGCTAACCAACCCTCCTGTGTCTGTAGCCTCTGACCTTCTATCCACCAGGGCCTGCAATAGATTTGCCTCCTTCTTCACAGACAAAATTCAAACAATTAGACAAGCAATCAGTGCCTCCATGTCAGTAACAGGATATGTCTTGTCCCTGTGTCTACTTAAAAACAATTCATATAGCATGAGACAATCTGATTCTATTAACCATAAAAACCTGGAGGACATAATACAACATCTGAAATCCTCTCATGCTGCCTTGATATTCTGCCAACAGGTTTTTTCAAAAATGTGTCTAAATGCATGGCCTCAGATCTACTACAAATTGTCAACATGTTTCTCCTCTCAGGTTTTTCCCCACAGGCCCTGAAAACTGCAGTCATTAAGCCACTCTTAAAAAAGAGCAATCTGGACAGTTCACTAATGAGCAATTATAGGCCCATATCAACTCTCCCATTTTTAAGTAAAATCATAGAAAAAGCTGTTCAACAGCTTAGTGCTTTCTTGGCACTAAATAAATGTTTTGATGTCTTCCAGTCAGGTTTTCGACCACACCACAGCACTGGGACAGCTCTTGTTAAGGTCTTCAATGACATCCATTTAAACACTGACAGTGGCAGAATTTCAGTCTTAGTACTATTGGATCTCAGTGCTGCATTCGACACGGTCGACCACAACATATTACTAGACAGACTTGAAAACTGGGTTGGACTTTCTGGCACAGTACTAAACTGGTTTGAATCCTACTTAAAGGACAGGGACTACTTTGTGTCTATAGGTAATCACACATCTGAGCTGACAAAAATGACGTGGAGTTCCCCAAGGCTCCATTCTGGGGCCTCTTTTGTTTAACATTACATGCTTCCACTGGCTCAGATTATGAAAAACAACAAAATATACTATAATTATGCAGATAACACACAGATTTACATAACCATTTCACCAGGGGACTATGATCCCATACGGGTGCTTGCAGGGGATATGTGGACTACTTGTGTAGTAGCACTCAACTCAATTAATTTCAAAAAATGTAATTACAAATTATTTTTATATCAAAATATTGAGACAGCTATGCCTAATACACCCTTTAAACAGTAATGGATAAAAGGTTGAGATAGTTAGCTAATAGTAATGGATAAAAGGTTGAGATAGTTAGCTAAAAGTAATTTACATAGTTAGCTAAAAGTAATGGATAAAAGGTTGAGATAGTTAGCTAAAAGTAATGGATAAATGGTTGAAATAGTTAGCTAAAAGTAATGGATAATATGGTTGAAATAGTTAGCTAAAAGTAATGGATAATATGGTTGAAATAGTTAGCTAAAAGTAATGGATAAAAGGTTGAGATAGTTAGCTAAAAGTAATGGATAATATGGTTGAAATAGTTAGCTAAAGTAATGGATAAAAGGTTGAAACAGTTAGCTAAAAGTAATGAATAACTAGTTTACATAGTTAGCTAGAAGTAATGGATAATACGGTTCAAACAGTTAGCTAAAAGTAATGAATAATATGGTTGAAACCGTTAGGCCTAGCTAAAAGTAATAGATAAAAGATTTAAACACAGTTAGCTAAAAGTGATGGATAAAAGGTTGAACTAGTTAGCTAGTTAGCTAAAAGTAATGGATAATATGGTTGAACAAGTTAGCTAAAAGTAATGGATAAAAGGTTGAACTAGCTAAAAGTAATGGATAATAGCAGTAATGGATAATACAGTTTAAACAGTTAAATAGTTATAGATAAAAGGTTAAAAATAGTTAGCTTTAAGTAATGGATAATAAGGCTGAAATAGCTAAAAGTAATGGATAAAAGGTTGAATTAGTGGGGGGGTAGAAATGCTTTTTTTCATTACAATGCCATAGGACCGTAAGTGTTTCCACTGCACACTACATTGGACAGCTCTGTATCGGAGCTAATGGCATTACACTCATCACACAGACACACACTAATTCCCAACAGGATAACTGCTCATCCAAGAACATCTGTGTGGTATAAATCACCCTCAGAGACGTTACCCCACAAACCACCAGGCCTCACAGTGAAAGAGAGAGAAGCCCTTGGCAGCGACCGCCAAGCAAGAGAAAGGAATTTAACTTTCACAAACTGTAATACATCAAATGTTAATTGCAAAAACACTGAAATTATGCTTCAAATGGGATTTGGGGATGAGAAGTAGAGGCAGGCTGAAAAATGTGGTGAGGCAATGGCAAACTGGAATCAACACCCCGTTATGCTAAATGTATCTCCAGAGGATGTATCACTGTGTAGACGTTAATCTGTCTGCCTTGGATGCTACTATGTAACCATGAATTATATGATGCACAATAGCAAGTCCAAATACTCTGCTTTGCTGGGAATTGGCTAATGCTCATCTATATCCTTGTTTTATATGCCATTATTAATAAAACTTACAACAATTACACTTAAGAAAGCTCTAAAAAGCCACCAGGAGCTACGTCTGGAAACGATGCTACTGAGAGTGGCCAGAGTGAACTAAAACAGTAATGTTTCCGGACAGAAAAATTCACTTTTCACTGGTCTGAGTGTTTAATAATGGGCCTGTGGCAATGACTACCAGGCCAGTAGAACTTGGGAAATGCTAATGATGACTTGCACACTCCTATCAGCCAGTGAACTCTTGGTCACCCATTACACGGACTACACTGCTGGTGAGGCACGTGGGATAAAAAGAGAGCAGTAATCCAGCCATGTGCCTTTTTTGATTCTTCATCCATCCGATTCGCTCTCTTCTTCCATCCTTCTCCCACAGACACACACCCACAGAACACATACTGGAGACATTAATGGGTCCATATTAGCTTAGAAAAAATACATAGTCATAAGATATAAAAGGAGTGACTGAAAGATAAAGAGAAGAAAGTGCTATTACAAAGGACAGAACGAGATGAAGGTGAGTATAAAATAATCATATGAATCCTTGGAAAGTCATAGACTACTTCCAATAAAATAAACATCTCATTTATTAAACCTGACTTGCCTCCAGACATAACAATGTGACATGATCTTTAATAACAAAAACCTTCCCGAACAGTAAAATCTTAACACAGAGCCACCTTCAGTGGTACCAACTTTCCAACAGCAAACATTTGAAATTCGTTTTCATTCAGCACAGGTAGAGGGATAAACTCCATCTTTTCTAAGCAGTTTCACAACCAGCTGGTGAGAGCCGGGGTTAGCATTTGCCACTAACTCTGTCATTTATCTGGTCATAAATCAGCAGACTTTTATATGACACTTTACAAGAGTCTGCACAGGCATGAGGGAATGAGCTGCAGATTTATTGAGTGATCAAATAACACCTCTGGAGGCTTATCAGTATCATTACATGCTGTTGTTGAGGAAGAGGCAGGAGGAGGGCCGGAAAAGATCTCTTAACTTACAGACCTTTAACTTATTGCTTTCATGACAGTGTCTTTCCAAAAAGTGGTACTCCTATGCAATCAGATGTCATAGGTTCATTCATCTCAAACAGCACTTGGAGGGTATCCAAACTACACTGGTTTCTAGACTTGAGACATAAGCTCTCTGTTGCACAAATGCACACACATGAAAACACACCAAGGGAAAAAATAGCCCTAAAAAGTCTTGGTTTCTTTTTAAATAATGCCTTCAATGCCCTGCTGTGTTGCACAATCAATTTTAACTCAAAATTGAGATTAATGTAGCTGTCATCTAAATGCAGACAAACAGGTACATGGCCCCCTTGTGGTTGCACAGGAAACACAGCACAGACTTCCTGTAAACTGTGAATATATGCCACAACAAAAATTTCTCTTAAGTTTCCTTTCAAACATAAATCATTTTTGTAACTTAAGAGACCTCATTTAAGACGTGATATTTCTAATATTAATACCCACAGAAACCCACAAATTGCTAAAGAAACTGTTGTGAATACTGATATGCATACGGAATAAAGCTCAAAAATGCCAAACTGTATCAGTATTTATCATCAATTACAGACACAGATTTCAAATATAATTGTGACTAAATTAATCAATGAGGTGATCCTTTACCATCCTTGCTCCTGTTCCCCTTTAACATGATGAAGATGCCAACTAGGTCTGTGACTCTTATTAGCTTAGAATTAGAAAGACACACAAAAAAACTATATTTACTGTATATTCTGTTACCCCTAATGTTCCGATTGGGTTTTGGAGATCCAAGGCCCTTTTTAACAGCTCACAAAACATACTTAACCATTGTTTTTAATCAGTGTTATAATCATTTTTAAACTGATGAATTGTTTACATCAGTTATATACATATTACAGAAAATTAAGGCTCAGAGTGTCGATTAATCTGCTTATAATCGTCTGTCAGAGTCCAACATGTCTTCAAATGTCTGATTTTGTCCAACCCAACAGTCCAAAATCCAATATACTTAGTTTACATGTTATAGAATAGATAAAAGCATCAAATATTCCAAATTTATTTTTTGCTGAACTGGCCCAAACATAAGTAACTCCACTTAGTATAACATAATTTACTGTACATTAAAAGGCCTCAGTATTCTACTTTAACCATATTAGCAAAGTTATCAGTTGTGGAAGAAGTACTGAGATATTTTACTTACCAAAGTAAAAGTAGCAATTTCACAGTGTAAAAATACTCTGTAAGAGCAATGTAAAAGATATAATTGTGTGTGTGGAGTTAGTTAAAGCAGACTGTGTTTGTCTATTGTTGTGACTTCAGATCACATTTAATGACCAATTTATGCAGAGAGGGTATATCTCACTCACTATTTGATGTCGAGGACCTTCCTCGCGGTGTCCATGTCATATTTAATGTCCCACCGCCCTTGTTGTCGATCATTTTGTTGGACTGACTGAAACTACATTGCTGCTAGCGTAACGCTACTAGCCTTACAACACCAACACCACCAGCTGAAATGATTAGCACATCTGGAAAACAAGCTAACTCTGCCGGTTATTTCATATAACGTTAAATAAAGTTATTACTTTCTACTATTAGTTATGAAGCCACAGTTGTAACTGGCTTCACAAATCAGAGTTTCTCATCCAGCGACTTGTCCATTCACTATTTCGCAGCGACCTGACAGTTACAGCATCTGACCTAATCACCTTCACCTGTCACATCGATAGACTCAGGTAACTCTGCAATATCTTTATTGATCACACACACTGGCCAACACGTACCAGCCGTTACAATCCAGAGGGCGCTGTTTCACTCATTTAATAAAAATATGAAAAAGGGGCCGATGTCATAGATATCCAAATAAGGTTAAAATCAAGGGCAACTGGACTTGGTTGAAGATACTGGAAGACGTTTCGTCCCTCATCCAAAGGACTTTTTCAGTTCTGACTGACTGGTAGGGAAACTCAGCTATTTAACCTCAGTGGGGTCGTTTGCCAGGATCTTAGTGTTCCTGGCTGTTGTAACACAGTCGTTATGGTCGTTAGGACTACTCAAGGCCAAGACTGAACCACCACCGTTGGCATCCTCACCTGAGGCCAGTAGGTTACATTTGTTAAGTTTCCTGGGAAGTGATGAAAGGACTGCATTGTAAGTGGGGGATTAGTGGTGGCGTAGACCCCCTTCTCTATTCAGCCACGGCTTCTCAACCCGGGGGCAGATGGCTTCCTTTGACACGTCTTTCAAACCATCCATCTTCTCTGTCTAAAATGTGCACCTGGTGGTCCTCAAACGAGTGTTTGTTGTCTTTCATATGTAAGTAGACTGCAGAGTCTTGACCTGAGGAGTTGGCCCTTCTGTGTTGAGCCATGCGTTTGTGTAGTGGTTGTTTAGTCTCCCCAATATACAGGTCTGTGCATTCCTCACTGCATTGGACCACATACACTAGATTGCTTTTCTTGTGTTTGGTTGTGCAGTCTTTGAGGTGTACCAGCATTTGTCTTAGTGTGTTCTTGGGTTTAAAAAAAACACAGGGATGCTGTGTTTGTTGAAAATCCTCCTGAGTTCCTCTGATACTCCAGACATGTATGGAATCACAATGTTGTTGACCTTCTTTTCCTCCTCCCCTGTAGTTTTGTTCTTCTTGGATCTTGTGGCTGTTTTCACAAAGGTCCATTTAGGGTATCCACAGGCTGTAAGTGCCCCCTTCAGGTCCCAGCAAGCAATTTCACATTTAAAAGACGACTAATAGACGTCGAACCATAGCCCAGACGTCTATGCTAAAACAACATTCTTTTGAGAGAGCTGTGCTGTGAATATAAGTGTTCTGTTCTGAATATTTATTGTTGTGCTTTGCTGAGAGGTTAGCTAGGTTAGCTATTGATACGCCGGTTGATTAAAAAAACGCATTTACTCACACTAAACACTGTAGCAACACGTCCACAGACAGCTGCTGGACAGCACTTTGTGTACATTTATACCAGTCACAACTACACAGAAATGCTAATAAACAGTATAAACTACAGCTTTAACTAACTGTTGATACCCCGACAGCCATCTTGGATCACGAAGTCGGGGTAGTGCGGTTCTCCCGACTTCCCAAATCGGGATTCCGACTTAAGGGGGCGTTCCTTTTGAAATTTTGACCTTTGAACTCGGAAATTCCGACTTCCCATGTCAAATGGAACGCACCATAATGCAGGGAACGTTACAGCGAAAATAAAGATAATTTAAACGAAAAAAAGCGAATAAAGTCTGTATGGGTTTTTTGTTAATTTATTTCGGCATTATTTATATCCCCAATAGCTTCAGTAACGACAAACCATGCCCACCATGTCTATGGGACTATTTTATAAATGACTAATTGTTTCAGTCATTTTTAAAACAAAAACACTGAATCTTAAATTTTTTTGAAAATGAGCTGTCTCATATCAGCTTCTCAAATATGAGGACTTGCAACTTTTCTTTGTGATATTCTTTGCCATATGAGACAGTAAGTCAAACATCTTTAGCTTGTTACTGTTGGTTACCAATTGTTTTTACATTTTATAAACTAAACAATACATTTAACTGAAAAAAATAATCAGCAGATTAATGAATAATGCAAATAATCGTTAATTGCAGCCCATATCTTTTTTAGTTAATATCACGGTGAATTTTATTTTGTATAGTGAGAGAGTCATGCCTTTCCTTGGTTTCTGAGAGAAAACGTCACTACATTTTACGGGGGTGACAAGGCGTCTACGCTTGTTGCAACAGGGGCACTGCCAGCCTGTAGCCCCCACCCAGAACCACCACAGGGTCATAAGAAAATAGGAAAAAATAATAATTTAAAACTTATTACTACTAATATAATTCATACAGCTGTTAGCTGTGAGTAACGCAAATGTCAAGTTAAATAAGTTTTCAGTTTTTTCTACAAACACGTTGCACACGCACACCCAGTAACTTGAGCGGAAGTCTGAAGCTGAAGACAGATGCTTTTCAATAATGGGCAAACAATGACCCATTTGACCAGGAACATCCTCCACCACTGGAACTTTTCATCTGTTCCTCACTCCTCTACCCAAATTATCCTCCAGCATGAAAACATTACAGGTCTGTCAGCATGCAGTAATTACTTCCTCCCTCACTTGGTGTTTTCCATTTTTCACCCACTGTCCTGCACTGAAGTGACACTGACTTCATGTGGATGAAAGATCCAAACTGAGCCAGTAAAGAACCACTTGTTGCTGTTGTCCCTCTTCATCCTTCCTTGACTTTTAACAGGATGAGACATAAAGCAGGCACACCCTCCTGCTCCAACACCATGGGGATTTTTTAATTTCAAATTAAATGACGCAATCACTGGCCACCAACACACCCTCTGACCTCACCAAACCACACCATATAATCCAAACCTCTGGAACAATACAAATACTAAAACATGACCAAAAAAGGAACTCAGCAGGATCCATTTTTTATATAACACAGTTTATAATTGTATTGTTTCATCAGGCCAATGCTATGTTTACACAATATCCTTTATTGATGCACAGCCAAATCCTGGCACAAGTGTAAAAGTGTGTGACGCAGGTTGATTACTGGTATGCACACTTTTAGAAACTATCATGGCCACAGACGGGCCAATAATCCTTACCTGCTGAAGCTAATCTACTTTTTGGATTATCCTGGAGCAGCTAAACAACTGGTCCAACGGCATAGTAGAATAAGCCAATATATCAGCGACTCCAAAGGCTATGCATGTAGCCATGCATTTATACTTGTGCGTAGGTCTGTGCGTCATTCTGCAATTACACCCCCACACGCTAGTCAGCAGTAGCGCTACAGCGTCCAGTGTATTGACTTTTGCCGGCCGAGCAGGCTAACTTCCGGTTTAGCGCGCCGCTAATGTAAATTGGGCTTAAATTGTAAACGTGTGGCTGGTGTAGCCTTTTCAAATGTTACCGACCGAATGGATCACATTCTGATAGCGAAACGAGTCATTTTGCACAGGTTGCGACGGTCAAATATTGATTCATTGTGTTACAGCCGCCGTTTTGGCCGCTAGTAAATGTTACTTTAAAGCTCGGGATACTTCCGGTCGGCTCGGAGGCATTGCGAGGCTACCCAGCCGACCAATCACAGAGTTTACGGTCCGTGTCGAGTCGACGTGTAGTTACATTTTTGAGGAGGTGCGTGTCAGGCGACGGCGTAGCCTCTGCGTAGCCCCGTAGCCTACGCTGTCACCTACGCCGTCGATTTGACGCAGATGTATAAATTGCATTTAACCCTGCATTCTGGTCATGCAGTGTTCTAGTAGCATAATAATGTACTATGAGCTCTTTAAGATATGATGGTACCTGACCATTAAGGACTTTGAATGTGAGCAGAAGTTTTTAAACTCTATTCTAGAGACAGTGCAGAGAAGCCAATACGGGAGAAATATGATCTCTTTTCCTGGTTCTTGCCAGTACGCATGTTGCAGAATTCTGGATCAACTGGAGAGTCTTAAGGGACTTTTTCAGGTGGCCTGATGATATGGAATAGCAATTATCCAGCCTAGAAGTAATAAGTGTGTGGACTAGTTATTCTGCATTGTTTTGAGACAATATGTGATTTTTGCAATATTATGTAGGTGGAAAAGGGTGGTCCTTGATGTTTGTTTTGGAAACAGTGCCAGTAGGTAGATTTTGATACCTTTGGACAGAGTCAGGCTAGCTGTTTCCCCGTTTCCAGCATTTATGCTAAGCTAAGCTAACTGGCTGTTGATGGCAGCTTACTATTCAGCATACAGACATGAGAATAATATTTCTCATTTTGTAGAATATCTCCGTGGAGCATTATATTATTATATCTATTTTAATAAACATTGATGGATTATTTCTACAGATGCATTAACATGTAAGCACCAATTTGTTGTAGCTGGTCAGTGTTTATGAGATTAGATTTTACTGTATGATCATGTATTTTTTATAAATAAAATGTTAATCTGAGTTGCATAACATGGAAGTACCTCAAAAATGTACAGTGCTCAACTAAATGTATTAAGTTACATTTCACCACTGGACCAAAGTCTCCATTTTATATAAAACATTTTATTTTTATACATGTTACAATTTTTTTATTAGTAATTTACAGAGCTGCACAGTATGGTGGTGAAACAGTTAACAGTATAAAAAGAATATATTCATATATTGAAACATTTTAGAGACACATAATTTACATCCTACAACTGTTAATAATATCTTCAATGTTATTTACAAGACAGAACACTGTGTGGGATGATTGGCTGTTTGTTCAGGTAGCAGATGGAGGACGTTGACAAAAACTGTATGCAGACACACAAAAAAGCATGCATATAAAAATAAAATTGAATATGCAGATTGCAAAAGGCATGACACTGTCACAAGAGTCTGCTTCCCCAGTGTTTTTCACTTGTGTAGACCTCTAGAAGCATGTAATGTAAACAAGAAGCTAAGACATGATCTATGTGTCCGATTCTAACCTCCTAAGACATTCACACAGGTCAACAACTAAGGAAAACCTATAAACGTAATTAGCTGCAGCTGTGAGGGTCCACTCAAGGGACAACAAGGATCAAGCTCAACAAGTCCAGGGAGGAACAGAAAATCAAAGAAGAATTAGTCTGTTAGAAGGTTTCAGATTGAGGAGCAGGATAGTGGCCAAGTCATCGGGCAGATCATTTTTAAAGAATGGCTGATCTTTTGTCAGCAAGAGACGCAGCTGCAAAAAACGCGTGTTGTTTATCAGCTTGCTTTTCCTGGTGCTATTGTTCTCTCAGTTGCATTACACATGACATCTGAAAACAGAACATTTAATCAAATCCCTGGGCCACTTTCATTTTTCCACTGAAACGTGTTTTCACTTATTTCTGGATTCCAGAGCTATAGAGGGTTCATGTTCCCCGACTTTCTCTCCCATCCCCACTTTTTTCACATTCTCATGTCTACCACATCATACATTCACAAACATACACCAAAGCTTCTGATGGATGGAGTGGTTAAAAAGGCAGAAATATTACCTGCCAGAGGAAAAATAGCTGGAATGACGTTACACAATGTTCAGATTGTAAAAGACTGCTTTTACATTGACGAACAGTAATATTACATACAATAACACTGTATTTGGTCACCTTAAAGGAATAGTTTGACATTTTGAAAATATGCTTATTTGCTTTCTGGCAGGGATTTAGATAGAAAGAATGATTCCACATTCATGTGTGTACAGTAAACATAAGGCTACAGAAAGCAGCCATTTAGCTTAGCTTAAGACTTGAAACACGAGAGTACAGCTAGCCTGGCACTTACGAAATCCACCTAACTAACTAACACTTCTAAAGCTAACTGATTAACACGTTATGTCTGTCTATGTATATTTACGTAGGCAGATTTAGACAGAGTCAGGCTAGCTGTTTCCCCTTGTTTCCAGTCTTTGTGTCAAGCTAAACTAACGGCTGCTGGCTATAGCTTCATATTTAACAGACAGATGTGAGAGTTCAATCGATCTTCTCATTTAACTCTCTGCCAGAAAGGGAGTGTATTTCCTTGAACTATTCCTTTAATCTTCAGTAGTATATAGACAGTTTATTCACTGGAGTTGCTTTTAAATTGTAAAAATTAGTTATATAGACCACTAGATTTCAAAGAGTATTTTAAATTAAGTTAGCACCATTGACTAAAAAAGCTTTCTCAGTGCCTCTCTGGGAAGGCCTAAAGAGTACATTTGAGCTTTGTAGAGTGAAGAAAGAATATTATCTGGTAAACCACCTAACAGTAACACTATATATATATATATATATATATATATATATATATATATATATATATATGTATACACAGTTTTAAGTTCTTCACTTTATGAATGGACAGATAGTATGACATGATTAAACAAAACCGATTATAACACTAACCAAAAGTACTACTGCAGAGAGGATTGGGCTGAGTCTGATAACATTTCAAGTAAGAGGATGCAGTCCAGTTTTCCCCAAAGGAAGACGTCCAGTAGATGAGCAGCAAGCATGTCCCTTGATGTCACAGCCAGCTCACCCAGTCAAGAGAAGGCACCAAGGAAGGGGGACGAACAGTCAAAACTTCTGCCCACACAGGCAGGGACATAAGCAAACACAGAGAGGGGCCGTTGGTAGGTGAAGTAAAGAGCAGCGTGCTGCATGGCTGTCTTAAACAGCCCAGATTCTAAACACTGTGGTGAGCAAGTGGAGCGTCTTGTCAGGGAGCTTCGCTTTTCTAACGCAGAGGTTTCTGTGCAGCAGGAAAAGTGTGTCAGTATGCAGGGTGCACGCTTTTTTAAAACATGTATTAAACATACCAAAGTTTTTTGCCAACATAATTTCTCACTTGTCAGTGTCTATATTGGTCTTGATTCACATGACTCATATACAAACCATTTAAAAAAATTTGCTACCTTCGTCAAATAAAATGTTTTAGATATTTTATTCCACAACTGTAATAATAAACAAATAACCCATGGGTTATTGTTAAAAATTGTTAAAAATGTGTTAGATAGTGTGGGGTTGCTAATTATTGCATTAACATGAACATTTCATTATCTTTCCATGTTATAAATAGTTTATTTGTTGTTATTTGTTCAAAACTGCAAGAGTGGAACTCCCTTTTGTCCTTTGGTCCATATGCATCAAAGGTGTCCCCTTTTCCAAAAACTGTCTATTTGTCTAGGTATTGGTTATAAAATGTATAGGACCATTGGTAATACATTTATTATTGGCTTTAAATTACTCTGACTGTAGCTGGTATTTTTTCTTGAGAGGAATTGTAATTGAAACTAAGATCCCGCTACACAGTCTTCAAATGAAGAAAAAATACCTTGTTGTTCACCGGAGAGATTCATGCCTGGGTAGAGGAGCTCTCTATGCGGGTATCCAAGACGCTGCAACACATAAAAACACATACACAAACCCATTAGATTTCATCTTTCTAGGTAAATTAGATATATTATTTACTGCACGAATACATGCCCACAACTTAAGTCAGGTTTATCTGGCATGAAAGATCTCTATGGCACATTGAGCGGCGATTTACAGCCAGATACGACTTCAAACCTCTCACTACTGTTACACACAGACACATTGCTACTGGCAGACTGTTGGCAGATGAAGGAATGTCTGTGTCTCCTAATAGTTTCTGTCTAACTATATCAGCTCCAGGCCTGGCTGGTGAACATTTAAAACTGATTAAATCTGTTTCCACACTGGTTTGGCATGGCTTGAACTCTTCATCTCCTCCAACTAACAAACTAATCTTTTTTTCAGCACAATCTTGCCAGACTCCTGTACCTCAATCTCACTTCCCCTTTTCCTTATATCCTGGTTTGTTTGGCCCATGTGTTTATCTCATTACAGTATAACAGGAAAAACAAGAGAGGCACTCACGCTTGATGCTGCCGTACAAAATCTGCAAACTGCCGGTCCTTAGCGTAGAGCTCAATAATGCGTATCCTGTCTTGGATTTCCTGCAGAAACACATGATATCAGTCAGGAAGAAAAATTACATCACAGGGAGATAAACAGTAAACTGAACAGGCTGCTCAATCAAAACATGGCATTTACTACAACGACCTATTAATGTATTTATGGGCGCAAAAGCCAGGTGGTGAAATTTAAAAACCCATCTTTTTTCTCAATTTCAGACCAATACTGCCCTAAAAACAGATTTTTTTCCAAAATTGCATAAAAGTATAAATCTTAAAACGCCAGCTTGGTGGTTTAATGTGTACAAGGAAAACCAGAGCTTTTGCAAAACTATGATGTAATCCAGCCCAGTGAGGGTTGGGGGCTGTGTGGCAGTAAAGTTAAGCAGACAACCATTAGTTGCCTCTTACTTTCTCTCTGGTCACTTATTTTAAATGTCAATATACCTGGTCACACAACACAGCTGTAGTCATTAACATGCATTCACTCTGATTTTGTCAGACAATGTCATGATTACAAAATAATGATTTTATCAGTACCATGGCGCAACAACTTAGTATGACTGCTGCTGGATAGTAAAGATAATGGGGTACAAAAAACATAAATAAAATCAACCCGTGGCTAGCAGCCCACACACACACACACACACCTCCTTGGTCAGTTCACTGTTCTCATAGATGTGTCGTATCTCCTCGCTGCTGAAGTCAGTGGAGGCCTCAGCACTGCTGTACACAGGAGCTTCCGGATAGCGGCGGTAGTAGTGGCTGTAACCTGTGGTGGCCTCGCTCTCATACATGGGGTTGTACTTGGTTGCCCTCTCCAGAGATGGGAGACTCTCTGCTCGCCTTTGAAACAACACACAAACAGAGAAATCAGTCAGAATGTAGAGGCTGGTGGTGAACAAAGCAACACATCATCTAGGAAATCTGATAAGAAAATTGAGCTGTAGTGAATAAGACTTCGGCGTTGATTAACCTTAATAAGTCCTTACGTTTCTGCTTAAGTCGGACCCCAGACTGCCTATCAGAAAGCCTATTGTGTTAAGTGTTTAAGGCTTTTTGGTAATCAGCACCATATCTGATCAGTTAATTGGCTGAGGTTAACACAGGTTTCTCCACAGGCTGCTCTGGAAACCATGCCAGACACATACACACACACACAAAAGAGAGAAAAAGTAAAGGAAGGATCAAAGCAGGACAGGAGGAAAGAGACACCCTGGCAAAGGGAGTGGGGTGGCCACACTGCTGTAAGCCTAGAGGAGTAAAGAATAGCGCAGTGGATAATTTTGGCTGTCTAACTGAGGACACAGTCATGGGACGTCCCAACTTATTCTGTTCCCTCAAGAAAGTAACCAGGCTCCTTTAATCTAAAAACTATTATGTGGAGTAGAGAAAACTTCAAACACACTAAATGTAAGTGTTTCTGTTCACTATCAAACGGAAAAGTAAGGTTTGTTTATTTTCAGAAAACAGCATGCTGATAAAAAATAACTTACTGGTTAATTCATCATATACTGTTCATTTTACTGAACAGCTGGATGCAGGTTTTATGTATATAGGATATTAACTCAATAAAGTCTGGATTTTTCCCTTAAGCTTGATCCGTATCATATACGTATACAGTGTGTCAGAGTCAGGATCCCATATATATATTTTCTGTTTCTCCTTGTTTCACAACTTAATTGCACTTTATTCAAACAACATGGGTTTTTATATAGAAATATAATGAGTCTCTTGTGCATTATTTTTGTACACACCGTGACATATTTGTTATCTTTGGAAACACTTAAGATCCCCACTGGAAGTTAAAATACAGTAGGTCTTTACAAAGAATGGTCACACAAGACAAGTTTATAAAGATGGAAGCAGGTTCTCCAGAGTGAAAAGAAGAGAAATGTCAGCCCAATTACACTCCTTTTTATTCACCACTGTGTCACTCACTGATAACTATATCTATATCTAAAAACTATGGAAAGAGACAGTGAGAATGAATAATGTATAGTATATGGCAGATTAAAGTCACGCCCTCCATCCCTCATGTTGAAATATACTCATATGCTCCTCAAATAAAGCTTTCTGTTGTGTTCTCTGTGCAGTTAAAAAAAGTGGCATGGTATGGATTAGATGCTAGATATAATTTGTTTTTCTCTCACATTATCAAGGGTAAATGCTGAAAAGTTTGACCATATGGTATGAGTTGTTTTCCTCACCGTATGGGGTCCTCGGACTCATCCTTGTCATACTGATCCCGTAACGTCCTGGCGAGGAAGAAGATGACTCCCGAGGCCACCAACAGGAATCCAGCCACGGAGGCAATCGCAATGCCGACCACCAGTGGCTCCGATACATACTCCTCACAGTGCTCTCCTCTGTACCACCAGTTCTCCCCAACGCGGCACCTGAAATGACGGTGCAAGATTTGTCAGCAATGTTGTAAAATAATTGGATCAGTAATTTGGTACAATGACCCAAAATAGACATTGTTAAACTAAATCTCTAAGCATTCAGGGAACAGCAGACGAACAAAATGTTACAGAACATACATTTATTCTGTTTTGAATGATTAAAAGGATGTAAAAATTAATGACTGAATCCTCAGCCATGTTCGTATTTTGTCTTGACATAGTTCTTAACATGACTACAATTATAAGGCTCTGTATGTGTCATTAAATCATTAATGCCTTGTTTTGGAATAAGTGGAATAGTCTCCATGGAGCAATGCAATACTTGATGGCGTGAAGTAAACAACAGTCCAACAGCATCTGGAGCTGCCTGCATGTTTTATGATGTGGTGGTGGGTGTGAAACAAAGGTTAGCCCTCATCTTGGCAGACACTCTCTATTCTGTCTGTTTTGAATCATTCATTTTAATGTGCACCACAGAGGACATGTTTCTGTCACTGATTTGGTTTATTGGCATATCATCTTACGCATCTTACACACATTAACTGATTCAAATGTCTGTTTGGTCATGGCAACACATGCACAATCATGTTTAGATATAAACGCTTACAGAAACACATACAGCAACATTTTTGTAAGGCCTGTTAGAGAACAGGGCTGTAACACCACATAATTAAAAATATTTCACTGGACAAAAATGTGATAATATGCATCCTGGAGCTGAAAAAATTTACCACAATGTTAATAAAATCTTAGCATTTATCCACAAACGGTAATCATTGTTTTAATTTATGTACAGTAAATTTACTGCCAGAAGGCACAATTAAAAACTATGGTAAACTGCCAAAGGTTGGAGTGCTGATTCAAAATTGACTCAGAGTTGAGAAGCTGATTTGCTTTAAATTGATCTAGGCCAAAGTTAATTGGTGTTTGTAGCCAACTAAGGTGCAAAACAAAATATTTATTTCATGTAGAAGACATTTTTACCTCCAAAGTATGAGGACCAAATTTCAAAAATGCCATTTAACAAATGAGTACATTGGACATCTCTCATCTCTACATCAAGTAACACAAACAAACTAGAAAACTAGAAGCTAAAAATCTGGCCTCCTGCTTGAACTCTAACAATGTATTTGAAAAGCTGTTTAGTTTTCTGTGATGAAGCACTGGCCTCTCAAACCTGCAAACTCAGACACTCCTTGCCACAAGCATAAAGATCACTTCCCCTAATCCCCACCCACCTGCAGATGGCTCCCTGGCCGGGGATGATGTCACATTTTCCGTCATTGAGGCAAAAGTCGGTCTGCAGGTCACAGATACTCTGACAAGGCAGGCTGTCCACACTGAAGTAGCCAGCATTACAGACACACTCCGCCTCCCCTGACCACTTGTTCACTTTACACTCTGCATACTCGTTACAGGCCTGGAACTTACAGGGGTCTGCCTTGTCCCCTGGAAATGAAAGAACCAGAAGTGGTATTATTATCAGCATGCCTACATTTCATTACTAAATGACATGAAGGCCATTTTAAAAAAGGGAGGGTATGCGCTCACTTGCTGAGGGGTCGATTAGAAGGTTGAGACCACCTCACGTCTGTATGATAAATATGAAACTACAGCCAGCAGCTGGTAAGCTTAGCTTAGCACACAGACTGGATAAACAGCTAGCCTGGCTCTGTCAGAAGCTAACTAAATCCACCTAATAACACCTAAAGCTCAGTATATTGTGTTTTTACTCTTAGGGTTTTGTATAGATAAAACAAATGAGAAATAATATGTTAATTTCTGGTAGTCTTATTTCTTACTTTTGGACAAATCCATGCTAGCTGTTTCCAGTCCTTATGCAAAGCAAGTAAATTTAGAAACCAAATAAGTGTATTTCTCAAAATGTTGAACTATTCTTTCAAATTAGACCAAAAATAAACTAAAAATTCAACAAATTCAACAAAATAATATTCTAATGTTATGCACAAGATTATAAACACTTCAGATATGTTAAAAATAATAGTAATAACAATAATGATTTTAGATGAAGGCTATTCTTCCTCCATTTCTAAAAGCCGAAGTGCATGCAGGGATACAGCATTTTACTATATGTTGGCTGTGACAGATTTTGACAGTTTAGTTATGTTTCTAAACACAAGCATGAATCATTGATATCAAAATGGCCAAGTACAAACTGACTGTTCTCCTGAGGAAATAAAAAGTGTGCAGAATAGGTCATGCTGGGTCATTCAATCACATTATAAGAATAAAGACATTATAACACACACACACACACACACACACACTGTGTAAAACCAAAGCTGCAAACAGTAAGTCAAAGTGCAGCTAATGATATATGTTAATTTGGCTGTTGGCCAGGGAAGCCCTAATTATCTCATCCCAGCTGACTGTGACATTCACCTCACGACAGGGATTCAACACCTGCTTGCCTATTCATACACTAATACGTTCTTCAATACTAACTGGATGCAGTTATCTTAAAAACAACTCTCATGAAGAAATACACTTTCTTCATGAGAGTGAGATGAGAAGAATGAAGCCACTCTCATATCTGTACTTTCAATATAAAGCTGGAGCCACCAGCCAGTAACCTTAGTTTAGCATAAAGACTCAAAACAGGGGGCTACAGCTAGACCCCAACCAGTAACCAGTAACCTACCAGCACCTCTAAAGCTAATTAACACATTATATCTTGTTTGTTTTATTAGTGCTTTTACAGGAGGTTAGGGACAGTACTATTTCTTGGCCAGGCGCAGTGACTTCCTCCAGAGCTTTATAGGTGCTGGTCGGCAGATTTTGTTCTTCTTTGGACAAAGTCAGGCTAGCTGTTAGTGTTTATGCTGAGCTAAGCGTCTACTGGCTCCTATTTATCGTACAGATGTGAGAGTGGTATCGACCCTGTAATGTAACTCTCAGCAAGAAAGCAAAATGTCTAATAATTCCTTTAAGCAACATCTGACATAAGCTTCAAACATTTGATGCTATCACAGTTATTGTCATGATCAAAGCACTCGTAAAAAAACTGCAGTGTACATCAGTGAGAACCCACCCGACTCAACGTCCAGTGAGTACTTATCGATGGCCAGGTTCATGGTCTGGTAAGCTGTGTTACAGAAGTCCTCCAGGATCAGATAGACAGTGGTGGTGACACTTTGCGGCACAGGCTTGCCAAATTTCATCCGGCTGTTGACCACAATGCTCCCGTTCCTGAAGTTCAGGATCTCCAGGTTCTCAAAGTTGGTAAGGTTGGACTGCAGGTAGGGCACAAGCTGGGAAGATTTTGAAAAATATACAGTTTGATGTTACAAACCAGTGGCTAGGCCACAACAGTGGGAATACTGATAATCACAAGCGCATTAAACGTGAGAGGTTTACCAGCTCTATGAAGCGTTGCTCCAAAGCTTTGTATTCTGGGGAGCTCTTGTTAAAGAGGTCATCGGAGAAGATCATGTTGGTCACCCTCAGGCTGAAGAACACCATCAGTGCTCGTCCAGGGTTCACAGGCATGGCGATACTGGCTTGGTCTGTGCCGTGTGTCACAACAAATGGAAAGCTAGTGCTGCCGTCCTCTGTGTGGTTAATCAAATCATAACTATAATGAATCACGTCATAGTCCTGGTCCCCAATGGTGGCATCATCCATGCCTTCGTTAGGGGTCTGGATCTGGAGGACAAAAAGTGGACTGATGATTGATTTGAGGTGAGACTTTTTATCAGTGTTGTTATTCCCTGTTTTATTTTAATAAACCCTTCCTCTTGTGTGTGTTTTCGTTCACTTCCTGTCTCTTTTCTTCTTGTTTTCTTTGTTGTTTTGTCCTGTGTTATTCGTTCATTCATTTGTTCTGTGTTTCCTGTTTTACTTTGTGACTCACCTCTCCTCTCGTTTCATTTCAGACCAGATCACTGCCTGCCCTTGTTTTTTAGCATCTGTTTGAGTGTTTCGCTCTCCTGGGTTCCACCTGTGTCTGTCACTGACTAAATTTAAGTCAGTGTTGTTCCCTTGTCATTTGTCAAGGTTGTCTTTTGTTATTTGTCAAGCGTGCCTGCCTTCTCCTGTGCCTAGTTTTGTTTTTAGTTTGGATTTTGGATATTGCCTGATTCCTGTTCCTGTCAAAATGTTTGGTAATAAATCAGTATATATCCTTGTTGCTTATTTTGACTTGTGTATTATGTGGTCAAAATTGCAATTAACAAAAAGAAGAATTGTTCTTCTCTCAGAGATAGTGCACCCTACATGTATGTATCATACATGTGTAGGCATGAACAAAAAATTGTTAATACATATAATACCATTTCAGTTGCAATTGGCCATCAGCCAGCTAGGGGCCGTTGTTAGCCTCATCTGTGATTTGAGTACTCCATACAAGTTGAGTCTAATCTAGGATAACATAAGATGAGGTTATCGGGCCTCTTGTTGCTGTGACTTTTTACACTATGGTCATTTGCCCTCACCATCAGGACCAGTGACAGAAAAATAAAGCCCCTCCTTTGTGTAATGTAGGACAAACACAGCACTGAGATGCAGATCACTCAACAGGTGTTTAAAAATAACATAAACGAAAAGTAACATCTAGTTGGAATCAGTGCTAACAGTAGTAAGTTAGGCGAACTAGCTTCCACTTTTCGTGTGGAAGACTGCACATTAGGTTCTTCCACATGCTGAATGTGAAAGGCAGCTTAAATCACAGTACATAACCAATGCTACGTTAACGTTTGATATTACATGCTCCAACAGGCAGAGCACCACCGAAGTTGACAGACGCAGCATCCATAAATTTGTGCAAAAAATCTTTTTATGCTGTTTTTAAATTTCTGCACATTAGCTGCTGAATCATTATATTTCCTGAGAGAATTAAAATTCCATTTGACTTTGCAACATTAACATAAATTATTTTCTGTTACCTCCACCACTGAAGGGATGATGATGTCAGGTTGCCCTTCAGAGACAGGGTCAGCATCAGAGATGCGGGTGAAAGGCGACTCCCTCTCTGGAGAGAGGGCGGTCGGTTGGGCAGGGGTCAGGAAATCTGTCGCTGGAGGCTCTGGTTCCCCGTCGTTGTTGACCAGTAAGATCTCATCCTCTGTAAGATCCTCTGTAGAAATCTCTGGAGCATCTGGGGCCTCTTCCTCCACTGCTGGGATTTCTGGTGGACTTTCCTTTACCTCTAGTCCCTCACTCTCTGTTACTTCCTCCATGCCACCCTCTTCAATATGGGTTCCTCTGGATAGGTCAACACCACGTTAATGTCTCCGTCTTCTGCAGGCTCTTCGGGGTTAACTTCCTTATCTGCAGATGGAACACCTGTAAGGTTGGACTCTTCTTCTGCGCCCTCCACCAGCTCTTCACCAACAGGACCCTTTTCTGCTGCCTCTGGCTCTGATACTTCACTCGCTATATCTACAGCATCAGGAGGTGGGACTGGGGCAGGTAGGCCTTTTTCTTCTGTGGTCTCAGTTGCGATTGTGGAGATCTCGAGCTCCTCTTGAATCTGTACTTCATCTACAACAACCTCATCCAGATGTTCCTCTTCCAGAGTTGCAGTGGTAGGTTCTTCTTCCACTGCAGCAGCCTCAACTTCCTGTGTTTCAGGTTCAGGGATGGAATTGGCATGTATGGTGACATCTGTTATTATCAGCCTATCTTCTGAACCAGTCTCCTCAAGAGACACTTCTTCTTCTTCTGCTGCTGCGGGTGTAGGTGGTTGGAGCACGACCCCCAGGTCGTCTGTGCCTGAACCAGAGGCCTCGACCTCCACAGGTGGTTCAGGCAGTGTGGCATCATCTGGCAGCTCAGGGGAGGTAAGCTCAGCTGGGAGCTCCTCTGGTAGGGGGGGGTCTGTAGCAAGAGTCTGTACAGTATCCTCCAGCAACAGACCCTCCTCCTCAATGCCTGGAAAAACAAAGAAGATAAGAAACTCAACTCACATCATCCTTGACTTTCCTAAGAAGTAACTTCAGTGCAAACATAAAGTAGTAGCTTTTATAAATGGTGCTACCTCTGTAAATATTCATGTAAACTGACACAAAAAAAGGAACATAATAATAGAAAAGGTGGATGTGAAGAAGAAAAGGCACTATATGGGAGATAAATTGCTTGTGTGAATGCATGCTTGTGTTTAGGACAACACTCACTGCCAGCTTCGGGTGCACTAGTCGTCAGGACAGGAGCAAGAGACATAACTGCACTGTCCTCCAGAATAATGACGTCATGTTCTTCTGTCGCCACTGTGTTGGTTTCAGAGGGCTCGGGAAGGACGTCATTTATGTTGACATCTTCAGTGTCCCCTTCTAAGATCATGACCTCTGGTGGCTCTTCGGCAGCCTTAATCTGCATCACAAACAGGTCTATTATCTACAGCTTTTGGCACCATTTCACTGGAGTGTGCCATGCAACAGGAGCTTTGATTGGCCAGCCTTTTTGTGTTTACAGGTCAGGTCAATCAGCGCTCCTGCTGCTTCTAAATACAGGCAACTGAATTAGAAATAGGCTTTTTTTTTACTATGCCACCAGCAGTTGGTTTCTGTTGAGCATTCTGTTGTTGGCACAGTTCCAAAGTAGTTGCTGTCTAACTGACATTATTACATATCTACTCTCCAAATGTCCTAATGGTGCATACGTACTATGTGGTTTAGCAGAATTGAGTTTTTCTACAATCAATTTACTGCTAACCAAGCTAGCTACTATGCTAACTGTCTAAGGCTCATGTTGCTAACGCAACATTCAAAGATCTGTTGAATTGCTGTGGGGATAAATTTCACTCTTCTTCAGTTTTACTAGTTCTACTTTATGTGTGTGTTTACCAGATTAATTAGTGTGCTGTGCCTTCTATGAGGACTTAATCTTGATCTTTCATTGATGATTATTTGTTTATTCTAGACACGAAGCACGATGCAACCAATTTCACAGCTCCTCTATATCCACTTTCCATGTTGCTGTACAAACACCTTTTTTCAATACGTTTGGTCCAACTCTTGTTTATCTAACTTGGTTTTGCAAACACTGCCATTGAATTTATTGTCCAGTAGCCTACTGTGTTCACAGTTTCACAATTGTTTCCAGTAAAAACTGTAAAGGCAATGCGCTGTCTTTAACCTTTATTGGAAGTATAGTATACACCTACATGCATAGCGAGGGCAGAAAATAAACTTTATTTTATGAATCGTGAAAAATTTAATTTTATTAAAAAATGCATGATAGCTTTCTAAACGTATTAATGTACTGACTGAACTGTAGAAGTCTTACTTTAGTGGCATCCTGCAGGCTCCGTACGTCTAATATCAACTCAATGAAAGCTTGAAAAGGACAGCAGCTGTAGCTGTATCTAAAACATTCTAAATCCAAACCAGGGCAGCAAAGTGCTTTGGTGGCACAGTAGCTCTGTACTCTTGCCTGTAAATCAATTACTGATGTGAAGTTTGCCAAACTCTTCATATAATGAGTCAAATTAATCACTTAGCAAGCTGAGCTACAAAGTGAACCAGCAGACACATTTAATGCAACCCAAACTCTGATTACCATCAAAGAGCACAGACAACCACAACACAGCACAAATAAAGACAGACTTTAGATGGTAATACTTGTCTGAATAAACTCAAATGTGTTGTCTCTCTTTCCTCGCCGCAGTGTGGTGTACTGTGGCCTTTGCCCCAGAATAGCAGTGGATTATTGCAGCAAGAGCCAAAACTAATCCTCAAAGCCTCACTTCATCCTCGCTGGTGAGCTCATCCCTACCTGCACTGGTGTAGTCTGGATAACATCACAAGTCAGTTACAGGTTATCGCCACATCAGTCATACTACAACTGTCAGCTTCCTTAAACAAAAGTGATTTATCGGCTTAGCAGAGTTCAAAGCACCTGGATAGCCCGCAGATAGATTGTTACCATGATACTTGTGGAGGTAACTTGTTACTCACCGCCGCTTCTTCTGCAGCATTGACAAACTCGGGGTCCTCAGACACTGTGGAACCAGTGGAGAAACAAATATAAATACAAACTGACACACTAAAGGCAAATGTGCCAAAGAGCTAAAATAATCATGCCTTCAGGAATCTACAGAATCATTTTAACTGTTACAATTTCAGCACTTGACAGCCTTCATTTTGACGGCATTACCTTCAGGGGTAAATATCTACAAATCAGTGCTGAAATCTGGAGTGAATAACGGCTGCTGTGGGCCAAGGCTATTACTGCATCACCACCAAAGCAGAAAAACAAAGCAAAGCCGTGCCTTTAAGCTCCCCAGTCACACATGTGGGCCATATGAGAGTGTTTAGGGATCATTTCACATGTCCAAGCCTATAGTTAATGTGAGCATCAAATGGCATCTATCTCAAGGGGAGCTCGCTAACACAGTAAACTAATGACAAGCAGAAAACATGAGCAAGGAGAAATCTTACAGGAGAAGGAGATGCTATTGACATTATCAGACTCTTCATTTTCTTCAAATTTCAGGAGGAGGGCCCTGGTCAGAAGTAGTAGGTAGTTAACCTACTTACTGGCTGGCTAAATCTAACAGATACCATGGTTTAGATCTTGCCTATGTGAGCATTTGAGTTTATGTGTTACTTTTGTATCTCTGACCAAACAGTCAGATGTTGAGTTGCATTGTGGTTAATTTAGGCACCAGGTTTTAACATGAAGGAAGAATGGATGGAATAAAAAAGCTGATATCGTTGGTTCTGCTGCATGAATCTTTATCCGTATTTTTAACTATCCCACAATGTTATGGTCCAATGCCAAATCTGAAAGATCCAGCGGATGTACGCCAAAATAAAGGACTTTATTTAAGCAAAAAAACAAACTGAGTGCTCAGATTTCAAACTTCCTTTTTGCTCAGTTCTCTTTTGCAGACCTTTTAATGACAAGGATTTAACTGTAACACAGAATAAATACACAGTTACTATAACTGATGACTGTTATTTGTTGAAAAAATGGCCCACTTTTGAGCTCAAACTTCTTAGGAATATATGTCTGTCCTCTTTGACAGAAAGAGCAGACAAATAAGAAACAGATGAGACTATTAAAATCCTGGAATGTTTTCTCTAGCGGTGTAGGGTTTGTTGTAATATCAATGCTGAATCCACTGTGTCTCTATTTGATATGACATTTGGAGGTTTGCGTTTGGAGGTGTGTGTTCTGTTACATTGCAGGGAAAATCTTTGCACTGTATTGTCTTACCACTCTCCCTCTCGTCATTATGCAGGGCTTCAGTGATTAAGTTTTTGACCTCACTGATGGTGTAGACCAATGTAGGGCGCTCCATGACCTCACGGTATGAGTTTTCCACCAGGTTTGACTGCAGGGTCAGATAGTCCAGCTGTTCATTGCTCACCCCTGTTCCATCCACCAGCACTGTGACAGCATAGTCCACCACCACGCCACCCAGACTGAAGACACAAATTTGTAGTAGTTACATCCTATCCACATACTCAATGCAATACAACAAATCTGCCACAAATTCTATATTTAGGTTAGATTATATTGTTTGCAGCATATTGCATTATAGTAAGACAAAAATGAGGATGGAGGAAATTTTGAAATACATTTCAATATAATGCAGCCCAGTACAAAATCACTGCAAAGTACAACCTCAATAATAACAATGTAATTAAATTAATACCTATCTGACAAAAGCAATTAAAACGAAACAATCTTTGCAAAGGTTGAATTTATGGCTGAGCTGCTTTACTGGATTGTATTAGTTTTTACAGGTGTACCTTATAAAAGTGGTCACTCATTGTAATTATATTGTGATCTCATTTTAAAAAATTGTGTTGCCTAAATTAACAATTTAAGGTTTTTGTTTTATGTGTGAACAGTTTTGTTTGGTGTAAAGCACTGGATCATTGAAACAGAGTAACTGCATTGAACATCGATTTTATTCTTTTATTTGTACATTTGCATACATTTGGCATTTATGTAAATTTTTTACATATATATCAAGTTTAAAATTTTATTTACTGTAGGGTCATAATTGTGCAAACACAAACGTTAAGTACACTGTGAAATATAAGTACACCTCCTTAAATTTTTCCGCAAGAAGCTAAATGGACCTTGTGGTGAGACTGTTTGTTGTGAGATTGTTTTTTTGTCTACTGAAACATTTTTTCCCAAGGTCAAGGGTAAAAATTCAATCTCAATTCTTATTTATGTTGTGATTCTGATTTCAGCCATATTCCCCAGCTTTGTTCTGTCCCAGAATTTTCATCTTCCCTTGATTACTCTTTTTCTACCTGCATCTTGTGTTTGCTGCAGCACCACATAACATTAACAATTAAGTGCCTTGCTCAAGGGCACCTTAATGGTTGTTCTTGTTCATTTTTCTAAACCAAACTTGGTGAGGAATTTCTCTAATTAATTCACTGGCACCTAAAATGCACAATTTTACATTCATCTTATACACACATTTACAATATGAATGTATGAAATAATGTCTCCTGGATGAGAGAGCGGTTCTCTAAGAGGATGAAAATCGCTCAGACATTAGCTTGATTTAACATCAAACCTGCTAAAAGAGTTGTAGATCGCTCACAGATGACTGATGACTTCAGTGATTTACTCCTGCTTGGTATGCAGGAGCTCAACTGTATAGGCCAAAAAAAAACAAAAACGGCCAAGTCAGCAGAATGATCAATATCATCATAATAAACATGGAAACCTCACAAGAGATTCCAGGCCCTGGAAAAAAACATCTATCAGCCTTCATTTGACTACTGGGAGCCCTCCACTCTGACCTAGTTTGTTGGGTTTCTGGCGGACGGCTGAGCACGCGCCGGCCCACAGTCGGCCACATTTGGAAGGAGATCCAAATTTTCCCCCTTTAGTTTCACACATATACAGAGGCAGGCCGAGAGAGCTCTACCTCGTGCCCTGCGATCAGTTAGCAGCAGCACGCAACATTAATCACAGTGTGGGAAGGTATAAATATATTTCTCACTGTACTTAATGTGTATGTGTTTGCACCATTTTGGCCACGTAGTCTACAAAGTATGGTTGACAACAAAAAGAGCAGAGTTTGTAACTAAGTACATTTACACAAGTACTGTACAAAACTTTGGGTAGTTGCACTTTACTTGACTATTTCCATTTTCTGCTACTTCTATTCCACTATATTTCCCAGGCAAATATTGTTCTTTAACCCACAACATATATATGATGGCTGTAGTCACGGGTTTCTTTGCAGATCAAGAACATACGTACAAAACACGTAATCAGCTTAAGATTACACTGCCCAATAGTCTATACATTGGTCAAATTGGCTCCATCGAACCAGCTACAACATTAAAATGCTTTAGAGGAGCTGGTAGGTAGATTTAGTTGCTTTTGGACAGAGCCAGGCTAGCTGTTTCCCCGTTTCCAGTGCTAGCCGGGTGCTGGCTGCAGCCTTATCTTTATCATACAGATGGGAGAGCGGTATCAATCTTTTCATCTAACTCTCCATGCGAAAGTGTATTTCCCAAAATGTCGAACTACTACCTCAAGTAAAAAGGTGCGTGGTATTGCTACTTATTACTTAAGTAAAGGATTTAAATACCAATAGCATGACAACCACACCACTACCTACTAACTCCATTCCTTCCATTTACTTACGTCTTTTAAAATTAATTTTAAAATATCTTTCCCTCCATTCCCCTACTGTAGGCTGATTGGCGTGGTCGTAAAGCCCTGATAATCATCTCTATAGAAGAGCACCTGCTCACTCCGTTGGACTCATCCTGATCCCACTTAACAGGTGAGTGACCACACTAAGACCATTAACACAGGCAACTAGTGACACATGTTGACACGTGCCCACGCTCACAGGTAAACACAGTGGGGGGTAAAGGTGATCCCACACACGCACACACAGATCTAGCTAAGGGTTGGTTGATAGGGTTCTCAGGCTTAAATACAAGGCAGGATGGGGAGAAGTATTCAAGGTCAAACTGCTACAGCCTGAACTGAAAACTCACCCTTGGGTGTCCTTCTGGGGTCTACATACAACAAGGAGAGTGAACTTGTGTTAATGCTACACGTTGGTGTAGTTTTTGGCCATATTGTGAGGACAGTTTCTTTTGGCCAGACCCAATATTTAACAACAGCAGAGTGACTGACCTGAAGTCCAACACAGACACACTCTTAAATCCAGGAAGCCCCTCCAGAGCATCCTCTATCTGAAAGGACAAAAAAGATCAGGCATTACAAACAAGCCTCAGCTATAGTTTATTTCTTATTTTGACGCCGTTACAAAGAACTCACTTGGCAAAATAAATCTGATTTATTGCTCCAAGAGAGCTCATGTTGTTCAAAATAGTTGAAAGGTCTTGAGTCTTTTGTGCTGTGGCCCACATCATTATCCTTGGGATGCAGACTGCTGCACTGTGGTCAACTTTTTTATTTGTCTACAAGGCCTTGCTTCTAGACACTACTAAAAAACAATGCATATACTCTTCTGCAGACTCACTGACCCACTAATCCATCAGAGAGGAGGAGGATAGAAAAATATCTCCAGGGCCCCCTAACATTCAGTTAGTTACTCTAAGTCTTTAGTTCTCCACCTCCTCCACAGACCGGGAATAAAAAACAGGTCAGTGATTAGGAGAAACATCTTCCTTTGTAGACACAAAATCAAGCATGTGCTTATGATGTTGTTACAAGGTATGTGCGTGTCTGTGTGTCCTACAACATTTGTGTGTCGAGCTGGCTGCCTGGGAAAAATCTAAACTAATTTACTGAATTTTCCGAGTACCTGTAAAACCACTGAAGTCGCTTCCAAAGGAGAGTACCTGAGCATATGTGTGCATGTGCAAAAGTTTATCTATTCCCAAGACAAGTCATAAAGCGAAATTTCCAGCAGATAGTTATTTCACCAAAACCAAATGCGTACCATAAAACCTGTGTTCTTGAACTCCTGCCTAACTGTTTTGGGTTTAACTACTTCTGCTGTTAAAGTGCGTGTTATGAAAACTAACAATGCATCCATCACAGACCATAAACCAGGAGATATAGTGAGTCCAGTCTGGGGCCAAGATACAGTAGCTCTATGGGGAGTCATAAAGAGAGACAGACAGAAGGAGTTGGAGCCAGAGACGGACCTTTTCAGCAAGCTGTCTGCTGAGGGTTTGGTAATGGAGGCTGGCTGGATCGCCCAGGTTGTCACTGTACATCTCTCCAGTCAGGAGGATGCTCAGCTCCACCACCTGCTCCAGCACAGTGGGCGTGGGAGGCTGCACGGCAATGTCATTGTCCAGCTGTGCCATAAGAAAGAGACACAGTTATATAGCAGTCAAGTGTGCACATTAGTAAGATATTTGAAAAGCCAATTGGTAAACAATCTGTGTGGGCACTTACTAGACTCTCCTCCACCTCTGGGATGATGGCAGCTGCTTCCTCCTCTACCTTTTCTTCTTTAGCTATGTCTTCTAGGGGGTTGAGTTCATGTGGGGGAAAAAGAGACTGTTAGTTTATTTCAAGTGGATGTGAACTTAAACCTTTGGCACATGCCGTGATTCCCGATGGCCATATGGATTAGACTCTCCTGACCCAGAGTCCTTTTGAAATCTCAGGCTGAAGCGGCCTTTACAGCCAAACTCACTCACCAAACACACACTCACTGACATACTTCATAGAAAGCTAAAAACGGGGAACTACTGTAGGAATACGTCCATGAAAACACACACACACACACACACACAAGAAAATGGACTGACACTGAAAAAACAATGGTTGTGCATAGTTACATTTATGACAGTAGAGATACCATGCGATCAAAATCACATGATGTTTTGCCGTATAGTCAGCAGTGACACTGACCTAGCTCAGGAGCCTCAGCAACTTCCGGTGAGCCTGGTGTTGGACTGCTGTGGAACAGTAGAAGATTGTTTCAACAGTGTTGATATAATACTTCATGATGAACAACTCGCAGGTTTTTAAGGGTGATGCACACGGTGGGTAGAGGTACAAATAGGATTTAAAGGATATGGCTAGGGTTATTTTATTTCTTTCATTTTTAATCAACAAATTCTCTAAACATGCCAAAACCAATCATTAACTTACCTGCAGCCAAAGCCTAATATAGCTGCCTGAATGTCATAGAAATTCCTTTTTGTCCTAAAATATTTGTAACACATAGTTAGCCATTTTGGGAAATACATATTCATTTTCAGGTTAGGTAAAAAGTAATAAGTAGCTTCAGCAACTGGTTAGCCTAGTTTAGCATAAAGACAGGAAACAGTATGAAACTGGCAGCCTGGCTCTGTCCGAACGTCAATAAATTCACCTAGATTTTGTTACCTTTAGACAGAGCCAGGCTAGTTGTCTCCCCCTGCTACCAGTCTTTATGCTAAGCTAAGCTAACCTAGCCAGATGCTGGCTCCAGCAGACACGATAGTGGTAAGGATCTTTCCATCTAACTCTCTGCAAGAAAGTGAAAGTGTATTTCCAAAAATGTCAAATTACTCCTTTAAGCAAAAATGTATAGTATTGCTGCTTATTACTTAAGTGAAGGATTTAAATACCAAAATAAAGAGTATTTCAGAAAATCTAATTGTTGCTCTTAAAGGGCAACAATCTCTTTTAGTGGGTGACATATTACGACATCTCAGTGATCATGGCCACTATAGCTTATTCTGACATTGCTCCACAACTCCAGCTTCAGTATTTGGAGAGCAGCTTCTTGGTGAGCTGACATCACTGAGCATGCCCATGGACACAGTTCAGTATTTACACTTCAATGGAGAAAAAACTACACTAACCAATACTGGTATAATTAAGGGTATAGCTCCTTTGTGTGTTTTTAATAGTTAATCGATGTCAGTAACACGAAGGCATTCGCTATATCAGACTGTGGCTACACCGACAAAACGTTTTAGCATGATGAAATCATTGTTGTTTTCCTTCTTTTCATGGGATTTGTTGAAAATAATGACAAGATAAAATAACCAGTGTTGTCTTATAACTCAGAGAGAGGCAAATCAAATATACAGCAGAGCTTGAATATTAGTATCCAAGTCAGAGACACAAATAAAACAGGAGACAAATCAAACACAAACAAAAGAACATGAGACATCTGAAGTCATGTGAGGTAACTGATGAGCGGGAATATGAACAGGTAAGGTTGAAGAGCCTTGACAACCGTACCTGCACATATGCTGCCAGGACCTGGTGGGCTCACTACAGATCGTGGTAAGAATGACACATTTACAAAACACATACTTAGTGAAGAGATGAGATCATAGATTTACAATTGAAATGGTGGGTAAGCACTGAGAAAAAGAGGTGGAGAGTTTCTTTTACCTTTTCGAACTTGGCAGTGACATTCTCTAGAAAAAGGGGCGGAAAATGTTAAATGAGCGACCGTATACCACCAGTAAATTATGTTCTGTGCTTACTGCTTGTAGATACTTTTTTATTAAAGCATTAGTTATCCACTAACCTTTTGAACCAGAGCCTGATGCTCCTCTGATTGGCTAAAGTAGCTGCCAATATCTTGTGCCGTGACTGTCCCCTCCTGGCACTTGTTCATCCAGCTTTGGTACTCTTCTTGCTCTGGCAAGCGGTCCCAGAAGATCTTGAATGCCTCCCATATGGTCTCTTGGCACACTGGTCAGACGAAAGAAAGACACCAACCACTTAAAAAAAAAAAAACAAGCTTGTACAACTTTAAAACAGATTAGGTCGGGTGACTCTTCAGTTTTAGACAAGCTGCAATACAAATACAATTTTTGTGAAGGTTTCTTCCAGGCATCAAAGACCACTTGGTTTACTCATTAGCAGAGAACTCCTTTTCATTAGTCAGCTTACTGGATACTGATCCAAAGTCGGTGTCCATCCATATGCTCCAGTCTTCTTCCCTTTTCAACACTTTCTGTGAGACACCACTGATCACCTCCAGTTCCAAATCTAGCCTATATAACAAACCTCAACCTTTCCATGTCACAGACAGACAGAGTCTCTTTGTACCAACACACCTGTGTTTGTCCAAGTCTAGCTGCCCAGTCACATACATTACAGAGTTTCGCATTCTGTTTCTCATGCAATAAAAGATCAAAATGTTTCTTCTAGCAGCCTTCGTTGCATCTGTTTCTTGAGGAGTCAATTCACCAAAATCACACAAAAACGATGGTGGAATAAGTATTTAGATTCTTTCCTTATATAAAATTAGCAATACCACAATATAAGAATACTTCATTAAAAGCAAAAGCCCTGCATTCCTATTTGTTAATTATGACTTTAATACTTTAGCATTTTACTGTTGTATTTGGTCAAGTTGGAGCTAACTCGAACTAATTTATATACAGTTTTGTAGTTTATTCTATAACAGTGTTCCATAGTTAAAATGAACCTTTCTATGTAAATAATATACAAAGTAACTTGTAACTGTAGCTGTGAATATATGAAGTTGAGTTAAAAGTACATTTCTCACCAAACCAAAATTGTACTTAAATACAGTACTTGAGTAAAAGTACTACTTGTAATTACATTTCACTGATTACACTGTATCTAGCAATGCAGACAGTTTCGGTTTTATGTGTCCAAATTTTGAGATATCCACATGTGAGGTTTCTGCTGCTACACCAGTACAAAGTGAAGGGCATTTTGTTTGTCGTGCTAAAAGTATTAAAACGACGCTGCATGTCTTTCATTAGACTTTTACTCTCCTTTTACTCTGCATTATCCACATTGTTGTCAACACTTTAATTAACTAGTTTCTACCAAAACTGACCACATAAAAACAAAACCATCTGCATGAGTGGATACCACTAAAGTCAGTGAGTGCAGTCTGCTCAAATGCAAATGTCATAAGGCATAATGTCATAATTGTGACTGGTGTCCACACATTCTTCTGCTTGATGCAAGTGGATCCCTTGCTGTGACTGCCGCCAAGGTGAACGTTCTTGCCTGTTTGACAATTCATTCCTTTCACACTGGGGACACCAGAGAGGAAGGGAGAATGAGGACAATCAAAGTTTGGTTTTGCAGACATATCTACCTGCTGGTCGTGTGCCCTCACTCTTATTTATGTTCAGTCTTACCTCTGAGATGGAAGTAGCTCAGATGGTTTGCAACAACCTGCTGGGCGGTCTCCTGTGCACAAAGTTTCACTCCATTTGGGAAAAGGATGTTCCGTTTCCGTCGAGAGATAGCCGGATGACCTTCATGAGATACCCTGACCTCAGATACACGAACGACGGCTGGAAACACCACAGGCTCCTGACTGTAAGGCAGACTCAGGTAACCCATAGCGGAACCTTCCAGTGTTGCATCTGTGGCACCAGAAAACGACGACACATTAAGACTTAACATTTGACTTACATTGCAAATAGTGAGCAAGAAGCTTATAAGTTAACTATCGCACATACCTGTCCTTATGTCCAAAAATATGACCACGAAACTAAATACAAAGGAGCAGAAAACACATCTCCAAGATACGATGCTCATGTTAAATCCGTGATTGTGTTTAAATCCGTGGACTTGGAAAAGGATCAAGTAGGTATGTACTTCCTCTCAAGTCATGTACAAGCACAGTGAACAGCTTCCTACAAGTTTGCATAGTTCAGAAGTCTCCAGACACAGAAAAATAACAGAAGCCTGCACATAAATCATTTGAAGACACTATGGCACACTGGTTTCCTGCTGTCCCGCAGCTAAAGAGAGGTGTGTCCCATGGTGCTGAGAGGACAGCTCCTGGCTCAGGTAGATAGGCAGATGGCCCTTGGAGGGAAGGGGATTTTTTAATGCTCTCTAATCCTGTTTACGCTAAGCTTTTTAGAAGAGCTCGCCAAGAAGTTACTGGAGCAATACTGGGAAGGGCGGGCGCTTAGTCTGGAGGAAACATGGACAGAGAGGAGGCAACAAAGGCCACAGAATCAGCAGCAAGCAGAGAGATGCATCAGTAGTAGTTTACTAATTCTTGTTTGATTTAATGTTTTCTGCTGCAAAAAATCAGCAAAGCAAATGTTTGCCAGTAAAAAAAAAGACTTAATCCTGGTCCTCCAGTTGAAGGACAGTCCCTTTAACTGTTAAAGCACCCAATCAGGCAAATGGTATTAAACACATCGAATATCACAATGGTCATCATACATCTGCTGCTCTAAATGGGAAAAAAAACACATATCAATCCAAAGACAACACAATCATATAACAGAAGCGCTGTTTGACAGTTAGCTAGTTAAAGAATTTCATCACTTTAGACAATTTATTATAATGTAAAAAGAAGCTCCTTTCCAGTAATTGATGCTAACTGGCAACGGAAATATCAGTATGTATACATTGACTGCAGTGAGAGTCATGGGCTTAATCTGGAGTCGACCTTTAACCCCAAAGTCTTCTTGTGGTGTTTATCCTGTTTTTAAAAGGGAAACCTTCCTCTTCTGATCTTTAGGTAGCTGCATTACAAGCAACAAACTAAAGGTTAAGTAATTAAATTGACATAAATAAATATTGACAATAAATTAATATTACATCACATCATTATCCTTATTATCCGTGGTGTAAAGATGATGTATTTAGGACATTATGTTACTCAAAATAGGCTTTATATGATGTTACCAACAACATTAGCATGCTAACATACTGAAATTAAGCTCATATAATGCTTAACATGTTCACCACCTTAGTTAAGTGTTAACATGCTAACATTTGCTAATTAGCACTAAATATACAGTACACTTGAGGCAGCAAAATGTCATTGGTTTTGCAGGTTTTTAGACAAATTGAAATTTTGACCTGATGGTAGTGCAAGGTGAAAAACCAGGAAATCACAAAAAGGATACTTTCTCTGGGGACCAAAATGTGATGGCAATCCAACAAATAGTTGATATATTTCACTCCAAACCACCACCTCATATCATCCTCATGGTGGCACTAGAGAAAAGAGTCAGGGAATCACCAAAGATATAAGAACATATGGTCCAAGAACCATGGATATCTGTTCAAAATGTCCCAATCCATCTAGTAGATATTGATATTTCATTTTGACTTGCTGGTGGCACTAGAGGTCAAGGGATCCCCAAAGTCATGGTGATTTATCCTCTGTGGACCATGAATGTTTGAACCAAATTTAATGGCAATCCTGGCCATCAATCTGGACCAAAGTGGTGGACCAACAGACACTACCATCCCTAGAGCCAAGTCTCTAATATGGCTAAAAAGACCAATATTTACAACGCATTTTTAAACCAGAGATTTAATATAAAACACTTCCAGCAATTTGAGGCAGTTTCAAAAAGTTTCTCTGTGTTAGGGTGAGAATTCACAAATAAAATCCTTAAATACATCAATCTCTTAAATGCTTGGAAGAACTAAATTGATTGGCCTAATGGCCCTCTTCATGGTGCAGGCACCTGGCCGCAGCAGTTGGCTGAGCAAGTCTGTATGCTCCCTTAGGGAGCCAAGTAGGCCTAGAGGGCAGTGGTTTTAGTCGTACTATTCACTCATTGTATATGTACATTCCTGGTGAGAGATTTCACTGATGCTAAGTGAAGTGTGTCCTCTGTTTCTAATTGGCTGTCTGTGTACAGACAGTGGACGAGGCTCGCGATCCATAAACATTTGGTAATATACACTAATTTGCCATTTTATTAGGTACACCTAACTAAAACTAATGTTGTCTAATACATCTGTTTTGGAGAGCTGTTGGTTCAACTGTAGTATCTCTTTGGAGGATGTAGTTGGGCGCTGTTGAACATTATTGCATTATACTGAGAGATGTATGTTATCTAGCCTACCTTCACTGATATAAATGGGGTGGACAAAATAATAGCAACACGTGAGAATATAATTCAACAGCACCAAACTGCAGATGATCATGAAGTTGAATCAGCACCTCTCTAAAACAGTGTGAACATTATAGCCCTCATGAAAGTAAGATTTATTGCAGGACTGATGTATTACACTGTATTAGTTTTAGCTAGGTGTACCTAATAAACTGGCCACTGGCTGTGAATGTTGTGAACGCCAAATGGCTGCAGCACACAGCCATATATAAGTGAAGGGGATTACTCAGAGTCAAACTGTGAGGGTCTCTGAGAGACTGAGACAATAAATACACCTAAGCTGCCCGTGTAACCCTCTGAAAAGATTATACTGGAAAGAACACTAATGTTCTGTACAGGCATTTCCAAATGAGGCCTTTTGGCCCAAGAGGAAAAATGTTGGCTCCTCCGGTCAAAAATAGAATTAATAACAGTGACAGAACAAATGGTTTGCAGAACAGGAGCCAAGTAAAACTTAATACATAAAAGGGAATAAATGAACTCATTTACAACACAGACATTGAGTCTCTGTTTCAGTTACCAACCTCTAATCCTCATCTTGTTATGAAAACCAAGTAAGACAAGAGGTCAAGAGTCAGGACAGCAACCAAATGTTGTCCAGTTGGCATTTGTCATATAATACAATATAGAAAAACCTACTGGGCCCGTTTATTCCAACTATACAGGTTTGTGATTACAGATGAAAACAGAAACAGTCAAAACAACAACAGAACAAGTGTAATTCGGTCTACAGGTTTTAATACACCATTGAAACCAGAAAATATTTTGGAATCAGCTCCTATACATTTGTCAATTACAATGTCTAAAAAAAACATGGCATCAAGTATGTTATAAAGTGTTAAAAGAGACAAACATCTGAACAAAAGAGGGGGAAAAAACTACGAGACTACTGAGATGGATCTATGGTGAGAAGGACTTAGGCAACAGTAGTAATGGACTGCAATGTCTCTTAGGTCTTTATCTGAGAGCATACAATTACACATGCTACTGTATGTGCACCCCTGAATGTCTTGCGAGTTCTATTCTTGTGAAAAGGATTCAGGTTTCTTACAGGTTCTATGATTTGGACTGCATGATCAGCAACGACTTCTCCCCCATTTCATACCAAAATGTTCCTTTTTTCCTTATGATACCTGCCACTAAACGTAAAATATCAGTGTGTCAAATCTAGACAAATAAATACCAATGTAACAAAAACCCAGCCAAGTCAGTCTCAAAACAACAATTTTGACTATGCTATATGCAAAATGACGATATGCAGTAGCCTGCATTGACAGTGCAAATACCCAATTTGGTCTAATTCTGACAATTTGTGGAGGTAAAGTTGACATCTGGCAACACCACAGTGTCCCAATATGAATTTAGGGTCTATGATGCATTGTAGTACAGAGTGAGTCACAGATAAATGGTAGCATACACTCCATACATTTGTCTCCTATCTGGCAGCCAACAGGATAAAAACAGGATACCTGAGAGAGGCACTGAGTGACTGAAAGAGTTTTTTTTTTTTTCTTCCGACAAGGGTCAAAAGATGGAATTGCTGTTTCATGTTAGGATTTCAGTTCCTGAGGCTTCAACGGCATACGATTTTATAATGAAATTCAAGCAATGCGCCACACCGTGTCTTTGTTTTAGGAATTCAGTTAATCCAAACGTGTACTGATGCAAAGAATGCAGAACCAAAACAGTTTTAATCAGAAAACCCATAAATGAGACTGAAATATTAAGTCACACTTGACATGAAAGGTCTAACAAATGTCAGCAAAGCAAGTAAACCCAACTCAAACTATCTTTGATTGACTTTACAAACTAGGTTTTGCCATTTTAACACTTAACACTACATAAAATTAAATACAAATAATTGCCTTTATAAAATATCTTGCAGTATAAAAATGAGTAAAAAGGCATGGGGTGTACAAACATTGGCATGTCTAGATATAATCTAATTTAAAACTTGTTCTGGTTGGATGGACTGCTACCTGTTCAACTTAAACTAACTGATGCCTTTATGTTCACTCACAGGACCCACAGATAGTCAAAGGTTTACATGTTTTGTTCAAGTTAATGCATAAAACCATAACATCATCTAATTTAAAAGGAAATATTTTCAGTTCACGCTGAAATGTCCATTGCTCAGTATGAGCGGTGATTTATAACGACTACAGGAATGTGATGCACTGAACACCAGAGCTGCTTCGCGTTTTTTATCTGTTACTATCCAGGTTTTGATGTCGGTAAAGGTTTAGTACCAGATCTCTGATTTCATCTCGTTTCCTCCGCACCTGCTGCCGTGGAAACCATCGTTCTAGATGTAAAGGAAGGTCAAAGTGCACCACAGGGTCCTGAGAGCAGAAGCAGAGGAAATTTCCTATTACTGTGTACATGCCTTAAAAAGATTATAATGTCTCACTGAGGATTAATCTAAACATGAACATTTAAATCTGTTGCAAATCCAATATTACAGTGGCCATTTTTTAAAAACATGGCAGGCCACTTGAGCCCTAGAAAAACAGATACTGACAAGTTCTTTACCTTTAAAAAACTTTCGACGTATTGCAGCAGGTAGAGGCCACAGTCACTGCTGTTGTCCTGAAGGGGAACCTGGCAGTGTGAGCTTTGCATCTGATCAGGACTAAAGTCCCTTGATGAACCACGACGGACCTCCCATTCTGACTGCAAGTAGCTGAGGGACAAATATTCATTATCTTACACATATTTATAAACAAACATGCAGCTGACAGACAGATTAGAAGTGTCATACTTACTCCCGTAAGAGTTTGAAGACTCGCTCGTGAAGAGAAAGTTTGAGGGAATCCATGATCAGAATACACGGCCTACAGAGAGCAGAGGCACATCCGTTATTCAGTGTTTAAATCCATATTAGGTATACATTTTCACATTTACAGGGTAGTGTGCAACTTCTAGCAGATCACCATAACTACTAACTAATCTGTTTAACAGCAGTTGCACAAAACAAATTGTGCACACACAAGTGAAATCCTATCTCAACCAGTCATTCAATGCATGATAGGCATTCAGATGCTTGAGCTGGATGTAAACAATCTGAATATACTGTATGCAGTGGTGGGGGGATATAATAGATTATGAGATGTGACCAGACTTGCATATACTGTACATCGTAGAGAATACCAAGTTGAAGCATTTAGTCAGAGTGCTTGAGCTACATTGTGCCTTCATGTGTCCATTAGTTCGTCTGTTGTTTCTGCTCTGTATGAACTTGGGATACACCAAATCTTGGGCCACCGAAATTCATCGGCCGAAAATTCTTTGTTCGGCCTAAAAAGTCAAACGACTGAATAAATTTTACCGAACTATTACTTTGATCGGCAGTGTGGAACCATTTTAAAGTGTCTGAGAAAGACTCAAAAATCGCCGTTTGCAGACACTGTTCTGCTGAATTGTCTCCTAGCACATCCACCCCATCTGTGGCTGACTTCTTAGCCAATCAACAAACGATCTGACCTGCTTTGAGTGTTTCTGTCACTCATTTTTGAGAGGGCGATAAAGCTAGCCGCACCTAACTTTGGAGTGCACACGTATTCAAGCCTTTATGGTAAATCCACTGTAACCGACCAGTGCCAGCTGACAGGCAGGTTAGCATCTTTATCCCGTCAGTTTCTCTCTTTACAAAGTGTTGCAGTATGAGAGTCCTACCTGAAGAGAGGCTGTGAAGTCTTCATGTTACGCAATACAAGAACCACATACAACATTATTTATCAAATTGGGTCGGACTTGATTAATTTAGTGCGAGGATACACACGTGACAACAGCCGATTTTCAAAATAAGGTGTCTCTACAGTATGAAAATAAGATTAATTGGATTATATTCACAGAAAGTATAAAACATATTACATGTTTACATTAAAAGTAAATGGACACAGGTAATTTACTTTAATTTAATTTACTCTTGGGCCTCGGACCCACCCACCATAGACTCTCCAAATCCTGAGGGAAACACTGAGTAAAAAGCACATTTTGACTCTTTAATTTATGCAATGGTAATAAAAAAAAACAAAAAAACAAAAACAAAGGTAAAATAAATGGAAAAAATGTGAATGTACTTGTTCAGTGTTCGGCAGATATTTTAATATTTATATTCGGCTTTGGCCAAGAATTTTCATTTCGGTGCATCCTTAGTATAAACAAACGCAGGCTGCAGATCAGTAATTATCAACAGGTCAGATGGTCTTTAGAGAGAGAGAGACTTTTTACTTTACGCTTTAATTACTTGTTTAATGAAATGTATGGGGTTGATTGTTCTTATGTTGTATGTATGATGCTTTGGCAATATTGTTGTTACACATTCATGCCAATAAAGCTAATTTGAATTTAATTCAATTGAGAGAGCTCCCTCTCTCATCATATATATATATATATATATATATATATATATATCTGCATTTACACCCCTAATGCAAGTAACTAAACTAAAAGATAATGAGTTTATTTAATTATGGATTGTTACAAATATGCTATATTTTAAAAAGACGCACAAAGGCTTTCAAAAGGTTTATGATTTTATATTTGACAGATGGTTGTGACACAGATACATGTCTGTTTAATCACGCACAAAATAACTATGGCCACATTATCTCAGGGGCTTGCTCAGTTCTCATCCTCATATTTTGCAGGTAAAAAGTGTAACTCTGAAGCCACACACTCACCTCTTGCAAACAGTTTTTTTTGTGCAGGTCCGCTCTGTGCAGTCCTACAAACAAAAAAACATTTTGGAGATTTGGAAGGAACAAATAAAACTGTCTGTAAATAAAAATACAAATAAATACAACTATTTTTATTGCTAACTAAGAACAGCGTTCTTTCTTACCACTGGACCAGGTGGAGGGACTTTGGTGGATTCTTCTTGAATGTTTTCTAAGAAAAAAAACATGAAACCAACCATTACCTCCAGCTTTGCAATCACAACATAAATAAATAAAATGCTTGAAATTTAGACCACAAATATTGACTGCAATAAAAAAGCCTCTGCATACTGTTCTTGGATCCTTAGTTAAACATACCTGTCTCTGTTTCCACGTTGTCACTGTGGTTTACTGTAGTTGGTATAGGTGGTGTCTCTGTGTTATTGTCTGGGCTTTTAGATCCTTGAGTGGCCTCTTGATCCTGTATGTCAGCTGTCCCAGCTTGGCTCTCTGCCGTCTCTGTGTCTGGACCATTCCAGGCCTCTGATTTTGGCTCATCCAGTCCAGGAAAGCAAATAACAACTAAATACCAATGAGACCTAAACAGACAACAGAGCAATGTTATGCCAATGTGTAATGTCATTTACCAAAGAAAAACTACTATTTACAATACGATCATGTATTTAACTCACTCCTGATTGACAGGCACAAACAGAAAGTCCTTTTTGAAGATGTCCACATGGCGTGTCCATGTCTTCACCCGTTGGTGCCGCCTCTGCCTCTGACAGCTGGGTGCACACAAAAGTAAACCAGGGAGACAAGTTTTAACTTGGTTTCACATGTCACGCGAATACCTGTAGACACTTTTTTACTTCTCAAGTATTAGTATTAACTTCCAAAAATCTAAGTTCAAGGTACAAGGAGCGTTTTATTTCATTTATTCTGATAAGTGTGTAGATGCTACTTGTATATTCTTTTTACAGCACATCTATAGAATTCGTGAACACATTTCATGTATAATGACTAAACTAATGAAAAAAAAAAGTATAAAATCTGCAGCAGTGAGTCTCGCCAAACGTAACTAGCAGCCAGGAATAGTATCCATAAGCTAACAAGCATCAAGTCTACCATCTGACTCTGGCACATGAATGAATCAGGCGAGCCCCCAAGCATATTTTAGAGTACGGGTTGCAGTTCGGCATGTACGAGAAGGATCAGCCACAGCAATTATGTACAAGGTACAAGAGCTGGTGTCTGTCGTACTGAACAGTCTCAGTAGCGACTGCAACGTTAAGATCTGAGAGAAAAATGTGCAGTCAGCACTTTTTCACACAGTAGTCAAGGTAGTTTGTGACACTTTTTAAGTTTGTAATGCTTACATTTTGAATACTGGCTGTTAGTTTAGGTAATATGTAAAACGAGAGATGAAGAGAGCTTTCGTCACTGTCAGCCTCAAGAGTGCGAGCGTGTGGCTATTTCCTGGAAACAGTACATACCAAACTCAGAAATTTGTTTTGTTCAGGCAGCACTACTTACGAGTCACTTGTGCTGCCTTCACTTGCGTTGTCCCTCCGTGTCAGCTGCTTGTAGAAGAAGCTGCTGAAGATGTGGCAGCGCTCGGCCACAGCACCAGAGGCTTTCTGGAGGAGATATCTGGTTCAAAACACACATTAGCACAATTAATTCAAAAGTGAATCTCTTATCCACAAACTTGTGAGGAACTGAAGCAAATCTTTAGCATTTTGGCTGAAAATGTGTTCCTTACTTGAGGTAAAAATCTATGATAACATCATTGAGGAACTGCCCACTGTCAAGGCACTGCAGGTCCTCCATTGTAACAGTGATTCCTCCTTTCAATGGCGGAGGGGGAAACTGGATTAACCTAAGCAGAGTTAGAAGAAGAACCAGCTGGTTTACAATGAGTAGCATTACAGATGTAGCAAAAGCTGTACACAGAGCAACCATAGATTTGAATTTGATCATCTGCAGTGGTAGGTAGACTGTAATCGTTAAAATACTTATTGGTGATACACTGATCTGATATGTCAGGATTAGGACTAATACTGAGCTTATGAAGCAGATCTGCCATTAATTGTTAGTTGCTTCATTAAGGCCAATACTGTATTAAATTCTGTGTTTCATCAATCTTTCATTTTACTGTGACTCAGGTTTAGGGCCAGAGTATTCCCTGGTCTCCCTTTACCTTACATAAATGATCTCATTGAGTTCCATGCATCAGTTTGCATCCCTATTTTATATTAGATTTTCATTCCTAAGATTTAACTGCACTGGCTGCAAGAATCTTCACTTGGAAATCACATGCCAACCCGTGCTGGGTCAGACTGCATGAGAAGCTGCATATGGGATATTGCAGATTTACTTGCCTGTGAGCCAGGCCCTGATGTTTATATTTAGTCCAGCTGGAGTCTCGTTTGCACAGGGACACGGAGTAGGATCCTTTGGTTCTACGATGGCACAGTGTGTATGCAGGTGTGGGTTCCTCCTTTTTCTTCTGTGGGAGGAAATGTTTACGATAGTGGCAACATTTACATTGTAATCATTTACCATTAACAGATCACAGACCAGTGGTTACTAGGGATGAAACGGTATGAAAATTTCATATCACGATTATAGTGACCAAAATTATCACCGTTATCAGTATTATCACAGTATTGTAAAAATGTGCCAAAAAATATTCAAATGTACTGATACACAAGTTTTATATTGAAAACTACAAATACAATTGCCATTTTGTCTGCATAAAATATAAAATAACAGCACAATTACATGAAAACAAATAAGTCTTTAGGAGACAGTGATAGTAACTGCAATGAGCCCAGCAACTGAAATACAGAGGAGTCTGTAGCGTTTCTAGATATGCTGGTTGGTTGACTAAACTGCATAACGAGTTATCATGTGGATTGGACGAATAGACTCTGCCGACACATGATGCACACAGCAACAGAACAACGTGTAGCGTTTTTACAAGAGCAGCAACACTGAGAGCTTCAGTTTACACGCTGTTAGCAAGTCAGAGAGACAAACCAAAGCTAAAAGTTAACTCACCCTGCGTTCACTATAAGGTTATTTTCTTCAATCAAGTTTCCCTCTGCGCTCTCATAAAAACTTAAATACGACCGGACTTCAGAGTGACTGAAAAATCTCCGCAGCGTTGTCTTCCGCTGTGTTGTCATTGACCCAAACAAACCCACGTTGCATTCTGCGCATGCTCACCTGCTTCTGGCAGATGCTGGACAGTGTTTGCCGTGAGATTACCCGGTTATCATGGTAATTAAAATGTGTACGGTAATAATAACCGTCAGGAACTAGGGGGTCAGGACCACCACAAAAAGGGGCACAAAAGAAATCTAAGGGGTTCCAAGACGTTTAACAGGAGATGAAAGAAGAAAAAATGTTTCCGCTACAGATAGTTGTGCTTATTTTTTCAGATTTCCTCAAATATTTGCTTTTGTTCTTGTGAATTAACACAACTTTACTTTTCGGGACTTCGTTTTAAGGGAGGTAACCAGCCATAAACATTGGGAACAACATACCTCTGAGGGCTGTTCAAGTTCTTTCTGATCCTCCTCTGGTTTGTCTTGTGTCCCTGTGTCTTGTTCCGTCGCTATCTCTAGCTCCAGTACTGTCTCCTTCTGTGAGTCAACCTCCAGTGGGAGGTGTGGTGTGGTGGTTTTGTCTATATCAGAATGTGGACCATTCTGGTCTGTGTTAGGTTTAGGTTCAGGGCTCTCCAGACCCAGCAGAGACAGTAGGTAAGAGTCCAGTCCAGTTCTTTTAATCAGCTCAATGCTTTCATCCAGGGAAAGAACAGGAGTGTGGATGTCTTCCAGACCACAAAGTAGGTCTGTATGATGGGGAACAATGGATTTTTCATCTGCAAGACTGTTCAGACAGTCAATGTCCAGGAAGGAGCGCAACAAAGCCCCCTCCATTCCCTCCAGAGGATCTCTCAGAGTTAGCAAGATGAAGGGGCTCGCCTTGCCTATTAAAATATAAAATCAGCAATATCATGTAACATGCAGATTTACATTGAGAATAATGTGACAAATCAAACAATACTGAAAAATATATCAGATATATAAAAAAATTTAAATTAAACCACAAAAATGTAATCACTTGACAAAGCTGCCAACACTTTAGTGGAAACGTGTTCTTCATAAACATACTGCTTTTCACAAAAATGCAGTCAATAAGTTTTTAGACTACATATCGACTACAAGTGTACTGTGAACTTCCATAAGCCTCACCAGTGTTCATGGCTCCATCTTGTTTGGCATACAGATTGAGGAGGTCCCGCTGCACAGCAGCTGCCGCAGTTTCTGACACACAAAACAGAAGGACAGCAGCAGGGATAGGCTCCTCCTCGCCCTTAAAGTGAAGCTCCTGGGCTTCCAGTTCCTGCTGTTCCCAAACACTGTACCTCCTCAGCTCTTTACGCTCAAAGGTTACCATCACATGCACCTCTTCATTAGTGTCTGTGAATGAGAGGTGGTCAGGTTAGCTTAGCAGTTTGCAGTGTTGATGCAAAAACGATGAAAACTGTTGCTTCTTTATCTTTACCACACTCAAAACAATGCTTCACATAAACAAAAGGGATACACCTAGCGTATTTACCATAGCATATCAGTAAAAGCATTCTTTCAACTTCCATAACCAAAGGAACTTGGTTACTTTACAAAACTAAAAACTTAACAAACAAACTTTATTACACATGGCCAATTTTAAATCTCAAAATATAACCACAATAGAAGGGGAGACTACACAGGCTCAGAGGTGAGAGTGTACTAGGGTCTTGAGGGTCTAATCCAGGAACACAGAGATAATTCTCAAATAGACCACTAAGCTGGGGTTAGATGGTGTGCAGAATGCATGACCAAAGAGAGATGGTTCCCCTTTATATAACCCAGAACAAAGTTCGCAGACAGGCCACAGCTGCTTTACAAACACTGTGATTATACAAAGTTAAAAAACTATTCACAGCATTACCTTTCACTGGGATGATGATTTTTTGTTCTGTTATCTGTAAAAGGAGAGCAAAAAATTAGATACGAGTACGGAATGTGATACCAAAATGCATGTATTTGTGCAGGTTGTACAGGTTACCGTGATGTCTCCATTCGCTTTCCCGTGGTAACCGCCACAGTGTAGGGTGTAGAAGGCCACGCCCATGCTTGAGAAGTCTTGACTGGGGGTGAGAGGAAGATCTACAACTAGATGCAACACCTGCAACACAAAAACATACATACACAGTTTGGAAAAATGGTGCTACAGGGTAGTAGGTCAACACAATAAGGCAGGTAAACATAACAGTAATACAAAATCATCCCCATATTACAATGAGGCTGAGCTGGAAGGTTAAGCAATATGGGTTAAACCAATATTACAAAAGAAATAACGTTATTTTACAAATTGAATCATTTAAAACTACTGTGTGTAGGATTTGAAAATTCCTTACTTTGGCGCCATCTAGTGGTAGTACCAAGAATGGCGTCGTAGTTGATGGCAACGCACGCTGCTACATTTTCTCGTTAGCTATCTTGTTTGCATGAGAGGAAATGGGGATTAAAAATGATGGGAACAACTCTGATTAAAACTTAAAAAAAGAAATAATGTTGTCTACTGAACTCTTCTTACTTAATTGCAACATTATGCTTTTATATGAACAGCTAAGTTTTGAAACATCAGTTTAACATGGGGATGGGACACTATCCTGCACACAGGCACTACATCTAAGACATTTATCTTTTTTTGGCTCATCTTTTGAGAAACATTTCTAAAGTTAAGTGATTTTTTTTTCAACCCAACCATAGGGGTAAAAACTATTTACTAGTAGAGAATAATCACAATTTTACTTTAACTTTATGCAAAAGATATACCTCTGCTCACATTTAGTCAGATTAAGTTAAGAAGTTAAACATGAATATTCTTAAATCTTTATGAAATTTGTGTCTGTTGTATTGAAGAGATAGTGATCAAATATAATAGAGGGAAACATTCTGCCAACCTGCATGTCCTGTAGGTAAGAGGATTCTTGCTGTTTGGCCACAGGGTCCCGTGGGGATTGTCCCTGTATTACGGTGTCTTGCAAAGTGACCAGTGTATGGACTGCGGCTGGGCTGCAGTGCTGAGGACCATCAGCGCTCTCCTCATCCTCATCACTGGACAGCACAACTGAAATACAAGCATGAAGAAAACATCAGACCTAGTGTGCAATTTACTTAGGAATTTTGCTATCCCAGTGCTTTCAAAGATGAGCACACTCCCAAACACATACATGCCTTTAATTGACACTGCACAAAGGACGTAATGGGCTTTGAAAGAGAGCAAGGACAGTAGTAATCCTGGAAAAGACACGTGGGTAGGCTAAAAAGTGGAAAGAAGCTACTAAGATGCAGGGTGCACCCATACGGTGAAAAAGGTCCAAGACAAACTAATATAAAACTGACAAATGTTGCAGGCCAATGTCAAAAATAAGATGACTGAGCAAGGTGGCATACGAATACACACTAATTAAGTACACCTAGTTAAAACTAGTGCAGTCATATACTAGGCTAAATCCTCCATGAGGGTCATAATGTTCAGTTTTTAGAGACGTGCTGATTCAACTTTATCGTGAAGGTGAACTTTATTGCATTATACAGAAAAGTGTGAAACCGTGTCACTATTAATATAATTGATTTACCTCTATGTATAATGCAGTACAGTTCAACAGAATAACAAACTGCAGCATCCAAAATGACCATGCATAGCAACTTGTGCATTTATGGCCACATTTTATTACTTATAGTATTGACAACCAATTAAAGACTGGCTGATAAAATAGACAATATTAGTTTGTCGCAGACATAATTGTATTGGCATATATGCTGCCCAATAGAATATGTTTCCAGCATAGAAACAGAAAGTGCACTTGGAAGCTTATTTTTCTTTAAATTCTTTATACTTTAAAGTCTAGTCTAAATCTTAGTCACAGTTCTTTAATAACCAAATTTTAGGAATCCTTATTAAAATATTTATCTCAATTCTTTAACCCTCAAATATTAATTTCTGTAAATCCAGTATCGGTCAGGCTCTACTGATAATGGAGTCCAACAGAGCACACAGCTGTTTTCTATTAGGGATGAAACGATTACCAGTTTAACGGTAAACCGTGGTGAAATTCCCGACGGTTATTATTAACATTTTAATTACCATGATAACCGGGTACGGTTAACTGCCCTATTATAATCTCATGGCAAACACTGTCCAGCGTCAAGCAGGTGAGCATGCGCAGAATGCAACGTGGGTTTGTTTGGGTCAATGACAACACAGCGGAAGACAACGCTGCAGAGATTTTTCAGTCACTCTGAAGTCCGGTCGTATTTAAGTTTTTATGAGAGCGCTGAGGGAAACTTGATTGAAGAAAATAACCTTATAGTGAACGCAGGGTGAGTTAACTTTTAGCTTTGGTTTGTCTCTCTGACTTGCTAACAGCGTGTAAACTGAAGCTCTCAGTGTTGCTGTTCTTGTAAAAACGCTACACGTTGTTCTGTTGCTGTGTGCATCATGTGTCGGCAGAGTCTATTCGTCCACTGCACATGATAACTCGTTATGCAGTTTAGTCAACCAACCAGCATATCTAGAAACGCTACAGACTCCTCTGTATTTATGTCAGTTTTCAACAGAAAGTTTTATATTTTACAATTTTAATACGTTATTTCATCACATCCACTTCTGAGAAGTTTTGAGGTAAGAAATCAACTGTGTAGATTCCAAATATTGACAGTTTTACGAAAAGTGTTGGCGGAACAAAAATGATCTTTAAAGTTTTCGGAGTTGTGGAGCTCTGCAAGTGGCGGCGAAGGTAGCCTGCGTGTGTTGCTGGCGTGCGTGTGTGTGTGTCGCATTGAACATTACGTGTGTGTGGCGTTGACGACCAGCTACATTGAGGGGCACTACCTCTGGGTACTGTCTGCAATGGAAAACAGGACGGCGGGCCTAAACAGAGTCAAATCGAGCTGGTACTGGTAATGGAAAAACGCCATAATAGACCATTTTATTAAGCCTGCTCTTCCAAAGTGTTCTCTAGACCCAGTTTCAGAAAAACTGCTTAGTTTTGTTCATGTACTGATATATGAGTTCAAAGACAAAACCTGCAAAGTGGTATTACAGGTAAGCTGGCTGAACAACTGCTGCCTGAGTCTCCTCAAAGATAAATCCAAACAAACATTTCAGCAGTAGAATAAAGCTTTCAGGTTTGGAAGATTATCTGGCATCACCCATCCTGTGTTGGTGTACTCACTGGGTTCGGAGGGGAGGATATTGGTTGTACTGTCATGGCTAGACGGTGGACTTCGTCTGGGGGTACCAATAAAGTCTCCAGCCTCCAAATCAGGACTGTTGATTGGGACCAGAACGTCTGTTTGATCATCTGCTCCCACTGTGAACTGTACAATGGTACGGTCCAGGCTGTCAAAATCTACGTCGTCTCCACTTTCTTCCAAACAAACACGTGTAGGGGCTGGTCCTCCATCTCTTCCATCTTCTCCAGTGAGGCGAAGCACACTCTCACGGTGGCGTTTGGGGCTGTCCGTTCCGTTGCAATGGAACTCTGTGTCTTTTCTTTTCCTCTTCTGTTGAGACAGCACAGAATACAGCAATTCAAGATTGGTGTGAGTTCACCAGACAATGTGTGTTGCTACAGCACAGAATAGAGCCATGCGCAAGACGGATAGGCAGAAATATCTTTAATGAAAAAAATGACAAAAAATGACAGCTTTTGTGACTGCGTTAAGTAATGATTCAGCGATGCTTTATTCAAACATGACAAACAACCATGGAAAAAGTCACAATGCTCGCTTATTTTGCTATTTGCAACTGTGCAAGAAGGAGCATTGTCACTGCTGGAGACAAGCGATTGGATGGAAAATACTGATATCAAGAAAGAAGAGTGTTTTCTGTCCTCTCACCACCTGCTTAAGTGATGGATTTTAGAGCTTATTTGGTCACTGTTGTAGTTGTAATTAATGACTATCGACCTTGAAATGTTTCTCATCAATGTTATTACTGACAAAGACACAAAGAGGATTCAGATTTTAAGTTTGGACTATTTGCTCACAAGCTGTATGTAAAGCTTTTTGTTGGATTGATTTGGAAAGAATAGGTTTTGGGCATGTGATTGCAGTCATTTAACACTTGTGCGGTATTTGGAGTGTTATGAACTACTTAGTTACCGTCATTAGTAAAAGTGAGTCAAGGGCTTGTTCAGAATACAAGGTGCATTTAAATAACGAGATGCAGGTCTGAGATTTTGTTTTATGCCTTTTGTAGGAATAGGTTACACTTAGATAAAGCTTTCTCTGTGGACCTCTACGGTACATACCAAACTGTTTTGTACTTCTTTTTCTGAATCAGTCAACCCGTCCTTGATGTTAGCTGGGGAGAACTCATTGCAGCCTCCTGCATCCTCGGCAGGCTCCCAGCTTACTGACAACCCACAATCTGTTTGAGAAGGAGAAACACTGATCAACTACCATGCTGATGTGTAGCATCTGTTTATTTACTCTGAAAGGAAGGCCGGGAGCATCAATAAACCTCTTCCATTGAAAGAACCCTTAAATTAAAACATCTGAGAGAAGGTCTGGAGAAAGCAGGAAAATGTAAATGTGATGCTTTTTAAGGCGTAATATAAGTGATAAAAGTCGAAGCATCAGAAAAACCCAGTGAAGTACAAAGCCGCAACAGTGTCTGAATATCTTCATGTTTACACACCTACGACTTCAGAGAATTTGTAGTCCTCTCCATTTTCCGTGCCTATTATGACCTCCTCGATGTCTTTTTCTTCTTTGTCCACTTCGTCATCAACATTTTGCAACCTTCTCCTGAGTCTTGACCTGAAGACATAAATAAGAAATATAATAATAATAATTTTAGACTAAACACATGAAAAAACAAATGCAGAAACATATTTGAACTAGAATCTCAAGTTGTGAAATTCTTCTATGTGGTATTATTCCAAACAAAATCACCACATTTTCTGCCTGGAAAACACAGAGAGCCAGGGATGCAGCTGGCCAAACTCCATTAAAAGGTCATCTATATATCCTCCCATCTATCTGATAATTATAATTAATAAATAATAAACCCCAGGTATAAAGCTGTGCAGTGCAGAAGGCACAGGTAGAACTGGCAGCTTCTTGACACCCTGGGACCCAGGAAAACATCATGCCATTTATCTCGATTACAAAAGGGGACTGTAAAATTTCCCGAGCACCAACATTCAACAGCTACTTTTTGACTTGTGACTATTTGAATCAGTAGTAGCGTTATCAAAATATGATTTTGATGTCATTCATGTATGCAGGCAGGGTGGGGTATGGTTGGTGGGAAAGGAAAGAGAAGTGGGTAAAATCTTGGACTATTTTTTGGCCGGGTGCAGTCACTTCTGCTGGTTGCCTGGCAAACTTACGGCAACATTTCAGGAAGTCATTGCTCCTGGCAAGAAAATAGTCTGGCACATTATCAACCGTAAAACATCAACTTGTTGTTTTTATTTGTTATGCTAACCAGCTGCTTGACGTAGCTTTATATTTAATCAGAAAAATATGACAGTGGTATCAATGTTCTCCTCTAAAAAGTGTGTTTACTTAAATGTCAAACTATTCCTTCAATAGTGACTTCCTACCTTCCAGAGGATGAGGGGGTGGTCTTCTGGTTCCGTTTAGGGGTTACACTTTTGTTTTTATCATTCTTGGCCTGCTTCCGACTCGACCTTGTCTCTCTGCAGATCGGGGTTTCCTCTCCGCACTGACCACTGTCCCTCCGTGTACATGTAACTTGTCTACGATTTCTCAATGTGTGCCTCTGTTTTATCCTTTCCATATAAGCCTTGCCCTCTTCCGTCTTTAGGACATCTGACAGGATCAGATAGGGCTTCCCCCTACAGGATGAAACAGAGACGCAATTATTCACAGCCTCCCAAGAGCAGCATCTTTTCTGCAACATTGTGTCCCCTCGAGGTAATCTAACTAACAGGTCATGTACCGTTACGGGTCAGACGTAATGTATCCCAGATGATCAAGAGGGAGGGGTAGGGAAGTCGCCTTGCATAGATAATGTGTGCATGTGTGCAGTCATGATAAGCTTGGCCTTGAGTCATGGTGCCTAAAAGCACGTTTTTTTAAGCAGTGCAACTTGGAGCATGTGCAAACTTAATACTGTACACTTAACATACCCGACACCCTTGAAAATTGCAGCAATGGTGATTTTATGTTTGCTCTTTTGAGTAAAGGTCTTGAGCTACCACAAGTCAGATCAAGACAGAACTTGAGAGGATGATGAACTTGGACACCTATTCAGTAGTGTGATAATGATAGTATAATAGAAATGTCATTTTAAATCCATATATAAAGGCCATTACTGCTTAATCACTGAGTGCAACAAACTGGGGCATAGGATTCTGTATAAATGTATAGTACTATGTTTATAATGTAACAGCTGGATTTTCTGTTCCTGTCGTGAGTCGAGTTGCTTCATCTCAAACACAAAGCGACGCCATGTGTAAAAAGCAGTACAAATTTATCTGCCATTGGAATTACAGAAGGCAAACGGCTGTGTAATTCATTGTACAAGTATTAATGAGCTAAATAACAAGTAATGTTGATACGTGCAGTATAGGCTTGGGGGGCACGAGATTACAATTCCTGTTTCACAAACTGAAACAGAAGATGCTTTTTCAACAAAAGTTATGTCTCACCGATTAAAATTATACCAATTAAAACTAAATAAAAGAGTACCTGTACATTGAACACACATGCACACAGTCATCTTAAAAGGAAACACACAGGACGTGGTCTCTTTTATGTTAAAGAAAATGTTTGCTAAAGTAGGACTACAAGCTCCACTTTGATTTTTAACTGCTTTAGAAATGTGCTTATGGCTATGAAGAAAATGAACACTGCTGAAAATCACCTTTGTAATATGCAGTGGGAGTGCCCCATCTTGTGAATGTTTCAGAAACTGCAATGATTTACACAGGCAAGATAAGTTTATTTGTATTGCACTTTTCAGCAACATGGCAACTCAGAGTGCTTTACTTAGGGCTGGTGTGGAAGAGAAAGCCTGAATGAATAATTTACTAGTGTTTTGTGATTAACTCTGATTAGTGTGCACAGTGAACTGGTGCTTAATAAAGCAACATTTAGCGTGTTAAAAGCATTGTTATACAATAAAAAAAAAATGTTTTGACTGAGCTGAACTGTGGGTGACAAGAAACTGGTATGAAATCAATTTGCTGAATCTGTTGTGCGAGTTTGATGCAATGTGTTTCCGACGAAGAAGAAGTAGTAGTAGTAGTAGTATATAAGTGTGGTTCCAACTTTGTGCGGCCACCAGAGTCGCCGCCTACATCCACCTTGCTCCTGTGAGGTTTTAATGTCATGTGACATGGTGCCGTTTTGCAGCGCCGACAATTTTTAACCAGCATGCATCACGTTAAGTCATCGCTGCATGAAGTCAAACGCACCTATTGTATTGATTGGAGGTGCTGCAGTGTAGCTTAGTGGTATCCATTAACATCGCATCCAGTTCCTTAATCTGTGATCTTAGTTTGTCTCGTCAGCCCATGCAGGAGAGCGCTCTCTCCTTTTGTCGTCTTCGTTATCAGCTAGATTAGTGTTATTATATGTTTTTAGAAGGGGTGGAGGCAGACAATGGAGAGGAAAGATTTAGTGAATTAGGAAAAGTTTTTTTAGGAAACCTCCTTAAAGTGTTTGCTAACTCTCCGTTTAGTGTGTGTTCTGAAAAAATATTTGGTTTTCCTACACAGCTCTGGCTTTGTAAACGGAAAACAAAGAAAGTGGTGTGGACCACAACACTGTTGAAGCCAATCAGCAAGAGGTGGCATTAGTGCACGTGTACAGGAGTACTAAGGAGCAGTGGGAGACGAGTTCTAAACACATTCAAACATGCTGAAATCTGGGCACTTTGAAGAAGGAGAAATGGCCGAGAAAGAGGCAAAGAGGAAAAGGTCTGAAGAGTATAAACAGAGAAGAAAGTTTTTTGACCACGTGCTGGAGAAACCTCAGAGATTTGAAATTTGGCAGCAGACCTTCGGAGGAGAGGGGTGTATTTGTTTGGCAGTTGAGTTAAAATATTGACAGTTCTTCTGCAGAATCACTTACACTTCCTTTAATGTGTTCAAGTAGGAAAAATAATAGCTAAGCAGAGAGCAAGAGAGTGTCTGCACTGTAGCAAGGCAGGAAGCAAGTTAGGACAAATAACTTATTGAACTCACACACCAGTTCAGTGTAAACAACAGAACATATTTGTCAGTTTCAACCCTTGGCAGAAAAATTACCAGGTATTTCAGTCTGCAATCAATAGCCCAAAAAAGGTCTGTCAAAACTCTTGTCAGCACCTACTTACCTGGCCATTTCCAATGGGTCCATGACAATAAGGTTGTGATCCAACAGCTTGGAACCGTTGGTATGCTGTGACTCACGATGTTTCAAATTGCAACCTGCAAATGCAGTCCAGGAAACCTGTTAAAGGGAAGTAAACAGTGCAAATCTCAAGAATAATCCATCGTAGCCATGTTACTACCATAACATTTGTTCATGTGGTCAGACAGATAGCAAAGATATCGTGGTACCTGTCTTTCTAACTTCCCACACTGTGATGAAAGACATGGCATGGGGATTGTGAATGGGTTTTCCATCTAAAATTCACAGAGTGGTTAGTTACCATACTTGTATAAAATGAATGACATTAAACAGCCAAAAGCTTGTGAATTGTCTCAGATGTGCGAAACAGCAAGTGCAGATGAGCAATCTGTAATCCATTATGCTAAAATTTTGTTTTCTATGTGTTGCAAGCATGCGGCTACCCCTGTTTAACCAAGCTGTTATGAAAGCAGCATACCTGCCACCTTTCTAATGTGCTCACAGGAAGCAGATAGAGCTGAAAAATAGTTAGTAGACCTAATTATTGCAACTGTAGAATAGTAGCAGCACGGCACAGATTATGCAAGATTATTCTGTTCACAGTTGCTCATGCTTAAGCTGTCAAGTGTCCTGCCCTTACTGTGATCAAGTTTTTAACAACAGGTAGGTGTGTTTACTGAGCGTTTGTTCCCAAGAGCCGGCTTGTGCATTAGCAACCACAAAATAGAGACGTTAACCAATCCCAGACCACATTTAGCTTGTGATCAGCCCGTTATTAGTACATTTTATGATGGCAACCATAAAGCAAGCGTCACCGCAGTATCTTTGCAAGGATGAGAAGCAATTCATGCCGCACACTAAAAGCTCACAAGTTAACATGTTAGTCATGAAATGTGGAATTTAAAAAAAAAACGGAACACACATACCAAGTTATCCTTGTCAACAGGAAATGGAATAGTTAAGGCTCTTCTTTGCTCCATCATGGTCCACGATTTGCTAAGGCACAGCAAGAACACTGCAAGAAACACAAACACATTTTTTTATATCTATATCAAAACAAGTGAAACGATGTTTCAGATGGTGGTCTTGAACATCCAGCACTGTAACGTGTAACACATCAAACAAGATCCTTTCTCCAGGCACAAAATCAAGGTATAACTTAAGTTAAATAAAAATCGAGCAATTTCAAAATGGATTTACATGTTGACAGACTGTTACTACTGGGCTACGTTGGAAGACACTTAACAAATGTTAATAAAACAATAATAAAACAATAAGGACAGGCAGTGCTATACCGAGAGAGACACGTCCCTAACTACACAAAGAATATGCGCTATTGAGGAGTTGGAAACCTGAGGGTAAAAAAAGAGTGATAGTCGTATGCATGTCTATTAAATTTCTAAAAACTATAAAGTTCTTTTTGGTTGAAGAAATTAAATTTAAGTAATTAAATTACACTTTTTTTCTGGAAGCTGATGTTTATGGTGCACATATAGCACGTGTAACAGTTAACGTTACCTATTTAAAACAGGCCACCCGTATTAAAGTTATTTTAATGCACAAGCCCACAGCAGCCCCGTGTTTGATTTTAAAGTTGACATGGCATGGACAACAGAAAGTGAAAAACAGCCAGCGCTCCCGTTAGCCGCCAGAGCTAACCATGGCAATGCTCATGCTACCTTGCACATCCCGCTAGCTAAACGTAAGAGAGTTCAAGCTTACCTTAAACCAGGACTTCCCTTTATATAAAGAGAGAATTAAAGGAGAATAAAGACAACTATTCCTACGAACGTTTCCACCAGCACCTTGCAAACACATTATACACACATTTCGGTTTCTCTTTGCTTCTCCACGGGAGCTTTAACAACCGTTAGCAACATCCGGTGAACACCGGAAGTGCATCAGGAAAAAAAGCCGGGAGCACGCAAAGGTTACAGTTTGTTGTTCCCGGACAGGAGGGAGTGAGAGGTTGGGAATGGAGCCCGACTTTTTAATCGGCTGTCTATTATTATTACAGTCACAAGGAAGATGGCGGCAATCGATTTTTAAATCATATTAAAAACTTGCTCAGCCAGAGACACAAAACTGGAATTTTAAGCATTAAAAGGGCTGTAACCATATATAGGGGCTGCTTGCCAGGGTAAAACACATAATATATAATTTTACCTTTTTAAGTGAGAGACTGATAACTTAAAAAACATGTTTAGTGTGCACTATTCTGCTGTAGTTCAAGAATCACAAATATGGTAAATAACATAACATTAATTTTGTCTGAATTCCATTTAGGTGTTCCCTGCTGTTGCCATCATTCATGTTTGTAGTTACAACATACTATGACAAGTCAAAATGTAATCTAAAACGTCTCTCAAAACTTATTAAATAGCCATGTCTAAAAAACGTTGCCTGTTTTACATATCTGTATCTGTTATCAGCAATCAGCCCCACTTTCTACTTTTTCTAAATTCTCGTGCTAAATAAATATACTTTGACCCCTGATAATTTGACTTAAGCAGGAAAAGCAGAGATGTATTTAATAACATAAATTATGTCTCAATTCCCTTTAGGTAATTGCATCATTAATGTTTGTAGTTACACTTGTGCTTTTCTTACTATGACAAGTCAAATTGTAATTTAAAACGTCTCTGAAATGTTTTTAAACATAAAAACACAAGGTTTAATTTCTTAGTCTTTACACTACTTACATAACCAAATAACCATTTCCTTATGCAAGTATACAAACACCAACCCTGTAGCAACTTTTGTTTTTAAATTTATTGATACAGCAGCAGAAACATCAGGTCTGTTCAGCCCCTGGAGAGAGGTTGGTGAGTCAGCCTTCAAACACTGCATTACATAAATATATACCTTTCTCGCAGAGAAAATGTTGACAAACCAAATACATTTACATAACATAAATGTCTCCATTACATTCAGGTGCATATACGTGTAGCTCACCAGCAAACCTAAATGGGACAAAGTCATTTTTAAATGTTATTAGTTGCACCTATTTCCTTCCTATGGTAAGTCAAAATGTCTGCCGTGAAAAAGGCATTTGTGTGTCATTAGGAGCTGGACATTGGCCACAGAGTAGGCCAACAGCATGGATGTATTAATGCATTTCATGTAGATGGTTCTGTATATACATGGAATCATTCAGGATAGTGTATTATTGACCGGTAATGCAGAAATACAATGATGACAAAATATATTTTTCCACTGAGGCGACCGCAGTCCTAGTGTCCAGGTGTTATCATTAACGTCATGGTCCACATTTTTGCACAGCTGTCTCTGAGGGTGTCCCCGAGCCTGCTGCTCCACCGGGACCAGGTCCTGGGCTGGGTAAGGCCGATGGGGTGTTTCCTCTTGACTCATGTCCCTCTCTCATTTCAGCTAAGTAGAAAAGAGACTATGTGATTCAGTGACATGCACAGTATAATGCTCCTAAGTCATCAAGTAAAGATTGCCATATTATTGTAAAATTAGACAGATGTTGATTTTATGATAGAATATAAAGACTCATTCAAATGTCACATTGTAATATGGTTCACATACAGTAAGATGACCGTCCTGCATAAAACAAAATAGCTGCAGAGGTCACACAGTTAAAGCAAACAGGTGTGTTCTTCAGAATCTGCATACAGGGTTAATTGTTTTTTACTAGTCTATGAACTCTCTTGTTTCCTGTGCAGAAGCTATAGAAGTGTTTTTTATTATTGTCTTACCAATAGCACTACATGGTGTTAGAATGGGCTTTTCCACTTGCTCCCCCTCAGCGATGGAAGCACGGATCCTCCGAACCACGTAGATGCTAGCTAGGATGAGCAACAAAAAATGGGAAGATACACAGTAAATAAAAAAAAAACTGCACTAAAGACTTGAATCATTATGAAGATGTTTTGCTTATAAGCGGTTTTCTTCTTCATTTGCTTTTCATTAACAAATGGAAACAAAGCTTAATGTTACTTGCACTGCAAACTGATCGATGAATTTATGCTGAATGGCCAATTTCAGAATAATATAGCCTATTTCCCTCTGAAATGTCATGGACTGTAAGTATAAAGTAGCATCAAATGGAATTACTCAAGTGAAGTACAAGTACCCTACCACCACTGCATATATTTGTATCAGCTCGTATAACATAGTTTTGCTTTTATGTAGTCTTGATAGATATAAATGTTATAGTACATTGTCATCTAGGCCTAGTCTATTCTGCTAACACTCAGAACACAATATAAACACCAGTGCCTCTCATCGGTGTGGTCAACTAAGGCTAAATACACAAACAACATAAACAAATCCTACCTTTTATTATCAGTCAGACCATTGTTGTTTCCTGTATTAATCTACGTGCTGCAGCTTTCTGCGCCTTCCCGTCTTCACTTATAAACAATTGTTACAAAAGCACACAGGAAGCGGATCATACAAGGGGCGGGACTTAATTCTCCGCTCCGCATTCCGGTTGGCTGGGCTGTTATACAACATAGCATGGTACCTGAGAGAGGACATTTCCAGTGATCTCTTTGATGTCAGTAGTGTTTTGTTTAGTTATGAAAGATTCCTTTGTGTCAAGTATTTTCCTATAACAAACAGAGAATTTAATTTTGTAATGAAAGCTATTCCCAGTGGTCTATCACATTTAATGAAATGTCATCTTCAATATGACCAAGCACTGAGGTTGGTATTGATTGGTATGGTATTGATATTATGAAGGCTAAATGCATCAATTAGCATATACGTGATACACTCTGTAAAATAAGGAAAATTACTCCTAAAGGTAAATTCATGTGGGACAACATTCTCACAGCTATAGATTGGAAGAAGGCATGGCTACTTCCACACAATTTTTGTATTAACAATAAGATTAAAGAAGTGCACATTAAAATTTTACACAATATATACCCAACAAATTTATATTACTCCAAATTTTTAGATATTGAAAACAAATGTGTTTTTTGCAATGATGAACCAGAATCACTGCAGCATCTATTTTTCCACTGTGTACATTCACTTACTAAAACTAAAAAACTAAACTAAAAACAATGTTAAAATTGACTGCCATTGCATATTTCGAACACAATAAATTTAATGTCAAAGAAAATGTAAACTTATTGATCTTACATGGGAAATTCCATAAACATAAGTGCAAAAACTCTCTCCAACTTCACTGAATTTCTATGTGAATTTGCAGAATATATTAAAACCCTTAATCTTATTGACTCTGAAAAATGCAACAGAACTATCAAATTGTACAATGAAATCAATGACCCTTTTTGTTTGTTTGCCCCTTTTCTCTGATTTTGTATTATATCACATAGGCTGCTGTTCCTACACAGTTACATGATGAACAATTCATCTGTACACTTTATATTGAGCACTTGTCTGCTGTATTTGTACATTTGTTGTTATTAAAAATTAAAAATCAAAAAGAGAGAGGACATATCCAGTGCCGTGAACTGTTAGAAACCTTATCTACTCAAGATTCATTATAAAAATAAATAAAAAATACACATTGTTGGTCACACTTTATTTTACAGGTCCGTAATTGCCTGGAAGTGTCCTGTATAGACCGGTGTAAGTTGGTGTTGCTAGTAACAAGAAAAATAATTACTCTGTTTTTACATAATTAGGTTTTTGATTGCAGGATGTTTACTTGTACAGGACACCCAGGTCTATTTCTTTAATTTTAAACATTATTTTTTAAATTATATATATTTAATAATGTATTATTTTATTCCCCTTTTCTCTTACTTTTACATATATTGTCTATGAAGAGTCTCAGTCATCCAGGTCATAGTTATCCGAAGGTTAAAGTCAAGGTTAAAGTCAAGGGCAACTGGACTTCGACCAAGTCCAGTTGCCCTTGACTTTAACCTTTGTTGGTTTACATATATTCACAATATTACACTGTTAAAACGTTTCTATATGTTCTTGTATTTAATAAAATATGTAATTCAGCAAAAACATGTCCCCAGAGACTGTTATATTATTATTAATGACATCATTCAATGTGTAAGCAGCTTTTTACTGTTGCAGCTGGTTTTAACTGCCAGTTTTAAGTACTGTAAACTTTCCACCGTTAAAGGTTCACAAGATCAGTCTGAGGAGTTCTGAGATAATTAATGGGAAAGTTGTGAAATACTGGACTTCAATATTGGAAGATGGCTTCATTACAGCGACAGCGTCTCTGCTTAGTGAGTTGCTGAGTTTATAAGCAGCTGTTGAGAAACTTCCTGGAGAGAACCATTTAAACCCATGTAAATATTAATTATGCATTTACAAATGAAAATTTAATACTTTATGCATGTTGAGTTGCTTGTCTACAGACACATTTCATGATTGCCTGTTCAGCTGACTGGCTGTGCACTGACTAAAGGACTCTACTAAACAAAGCAATCTCATAAGGTCCGCTTAGTAGCTCTAGAGCTTTTGATTGTGTCATGTGATCTTCATCAGCAAATAAAAGTTTACTTACTTGTCATAGAGATGTAGATGTGTAAAGTTCTACTCTTCTGAGCACTTCAAAGACTTCTCATCCATGTTGGCGTAAAAATTGAGATTGAAAGAACAACTCAAAAATACTAATTTTAATAGCAAAGCATAAAAATAGCAGTTAATTTGAATGAATTAATTGAAACCATTTAAATTGAAACCATCTCAATTTTCTTTAGAATTAGTACCAAATTATAACCCTTAGAACTTATCAGTGGTGTTCTTGGAAATTATAGGAAACTGTGGGACCCATAAAATAAAGCATTACTGTAGAATCCCCTGCAGCTATTTGTCACTTCACCCATCATCCACTTTCCAGGGAATGGGACTTAATTCAGCTTTATTTGAAACTGTCCAAATAGACTTGAATATTAATTGAACACAAATCAGGTTGATCCTTGTAATAATTTAT